TATCCATCTGTATGCGTTACATTAATGCACATCTTTGGGACTACATCCATGTATATTCCACGTTCTTTATATATCTCATACTGTACACGTCTGCAAAATGCTTGGACAGTTTTGCACATTTCTGCACAAACTACAACTTCTAAAAACTGCACTGCTTATTCATTTTAGGTTACTTGTGATTTATGTTGCTTAATGGCATCACTGAAAATGAGGGTCCACCACTCAATGTATTTCTTGGAAATAAATAAAGGTTGAATAAACAAATGGTAATGGACTACTCTTGTATAGCGCCTTTTTAGTCTTCTGACCACTCAGAGCGCTTCTACACTACATGTCCTATTCACCCATTCACACCCATTCACACACTGGTGGCTGAGGCTACCATACATGGTGCCACCTGCTCAGTAACCATTCACACACTCATGCACACCGATGGAACAGCCAACGGGAGCAATTTAGGGTCCAGTATCTTGCCCAAGGATCCTTTGACATGCAGACTGAAGGAGCTGGGGATCGAACCGCTAATCTTCTGATTAGTGGATGACCTGCTCTGCCTCCTGAGCCAGAGCTGCCAAATACCGATATACTGTACTTTTTTAATTACGGTATTTTGTAATATTTTTATTATAAATGTATTCTACCCAGTGTTTATGTCTCTTGATTTTTGCAATATTTGTCTTATTTTTCAATTTCATTTCTCTTGCTATGTTTATATCAAGCATATTCCTTGTATGTGAAAATCTACTTGGCAATAAACCAGAGTCTTATTCCAATTCAGGAAAACCCAAATGGCATATTTCCTTTGTGGTCCTCAGAAATGCAACAAAGAACGTAAAACAAAACTATAAAACCAGTAAAACACACATACATTAAACATAAGAATAATAAAGTACGATCCGAGCTCTCTTTATACGGTCTGGCGGACAAGGATTGCTCTACCACTCCACCATTGGGTGTAATATTCCCTCATTCTTCAGTCTCTCTTTAGTATAAACAACCCATTCTTGCTGAAGTCAACACGCTCTTTAAATCTAGATCACCATACTACCATTAAAATATAGAATGAGAAATTAAAGATGTGTAGCTAACCCAGGAGACCTCTTTGATTGTGAAGAGAAATTGGAGCAATTAGAGCAGGGTTTCTCAACCTTCTCCAGCCTGTGATGCCATTTTTAGGTCTACAATTATCATGACCTCGGCAATTAGAGCTGTGAGGTTGTCATGTGAGTTTATGAATCAATTGTTAGAGCACTGAAAAAAACTGTATTATCCTGAATTATGCTTTAAATACATGTTTTATATCTTCAACTAAAGCAGATAAGATAAATAGCCAATGTTAGTCCACTAATTTCGTCCATATCCAACCGCACATGATGTCTCTTCACATGGGGTCCCTAACTCAATGATGACTGCCAACCCATACATTTCGACAGATCATAGATACACTACATTTTTGTATGCTATTATGTAGAGGAAACTTAGGCTGTGGTTAAAGTGTGGTTAGGTTAAGGAACAAAAACCACTTGGTTACACAAAGGGCACAATCCTGGCAGGAAAAGCAGAAATGCCTTGGTAAAAACCAACTGCTTTCTGTACCTAAAAAAGGCTGGAAAGATAGTGATGGGTCGCTAAAACACCCTGTTGTTCTTGAATGGTGGTCTGCAGCTTTGACGGCATCTCGCCAAGGTGTCACACCATCCACTTCACCTCCCTTTAGAGCCCGGTCTCACTCAGAAGTCATCGAAATACGGTGCCTGGGCATTGACTTGCGGCATCAGACACCAACGAAAAAAAGCGTCCTTTAACGTTGGCATGATACGCGGCCGATTGCCACTATAGTTAAACTGTGCCCTGCAGCGTCAGGGGAAATGCAGGTGGGATAGGGATGAAAGTGAAGGCGGTGAAAGTCTGACTGGGGTGGTGGATGGGTCCAACAAACACCGACTTTTACCCATGAGATATGTGTTTGTGTCCCGCAAGATTCTAAAGCCAAACCCTGTTCTTTTTTCCTAAACCTAACCATATGTGTTTGTTGTTGAAGGAACGACGTAGTGCATTTATTTTTAAAGAGACTGTACATAAACGGTAAATTTCCTGTGAAAACGGAAGTGTATTTTGAAAGAAGACAATGCATGTAACCGTCGTACGTAGAAAGTCCATGACCACAATGTCAACATGTAACAAGGTCGGATTGAGAATGTGTTGCCCTGTAACAAAGTCAGCTCATATGTCACTTTAGAAACATTGATATGATACCCATGAAACATGCAAATGTAACATTTTCATGGTTTGCAGAACCATATAATGTCAACATTTCCTTCTGGCAGCTGGGCTGGGACTACTGAATATTTTTTTAAAGTAGGCACAAGCTTCCCAGTCATCAACACAGTGCTATAGTATTCTGTTCTTTACATGTTCATTTGTGGCTGATGAGTAACTGATGAATTATCTTTTCCAAAAGGTGAAAGAGATATCCCTATATCAGCAGCAACAGCTGAGTAACTTCCCATTCATGTATTGTTGTGGTGTCCCTACCCTCAGGTCGCACTGACGGCTGGCAAATATTAGTGGGTTTGTTGTACTGATTGTATTGTTTACACAGCAGCCAGATGCTAAAGATAGATAACTAAACAAAGAGGCAGAGTAAGGAAGCACTCAACCTAAATCCTATTGATCCCATGTTACAGGGGCTGAGTGCCTCTCAGATAAGGCCATGTTTTGGGGTAATTGCAGTTGTATAGAATTCAACCTGTGTATCATATCACAGCTGTCTTAACACCAGCACGCAGCTGCGGCCACCTCTCCGCATCCTGTATGCTGGTGTTCATTATGAATGAGTTGTAAGACAGAAAGAAATGTAGTTTTAAATAAGACGTTAATTTGATTTCAGGATGCATATTAAATAAAGTCATTAGGCCACATCAAGTGATTACATTATTTATGTGAAGAAAATATGAGTGAAATAAGGAATTTATGTTATCAGCCCGAGGCACAGCAAGTCAGACTAATCTGTCAAACGGTAAAATGTCAGTTGAATTGATTTATCTGTCCTGGCAAGTAATGATGCCAATGAACGGCCATTTCTTATTTGTTCCAATTCAACAGCTAAGTTTTCCTCAGATGAAAATATTACTCACTGCCTGTTTTTGTTTGCTTTCTTTTACAAATAGCTTTAATTTCATAGCCAGATCTAAAATTGGCTACTATTTTCATTTTGAGGATTCTTTGTGCGTTAGAGCAGTGGTACCCAACTGATGGGTCGCAGTCCAAAAGTGGGTCATGGGTCAATTCTGTATGGATCGCAAATGACTCGTGAACGTGCCAAGTTTTTAAAAAAACACAAGGATGGTAAATTTCCAGCACAGAGCTATTATTTTAAAGTGCCCTTTTCTGCTGTAGAGTGAATGAATAATTGACAGCTACTTGACAGAGACAGCAAACCAGCTCAACGGCATGGCCAAAAACAAGTATGACACTGAATATAATAATCTGTGTAGACCTTGGACTAATGACTAAGGAGAAATCTGGACCCAGTGGCTGGACCAGTTGGGAACCACTGCGTTAGATGAGTGGAGTAGCGTTAAACCATTGGCAGGACTGTGTTTTGTGGTGCTTACATGCACGCTACAGACAAATGGTGACACATTCCACACTGTTTTCATTCAATGTTTGTACTTATACCTACGAAAAGTAATGCACTATAATTCGTATATAACACACATAATTGTAAGACGGAGGCTGTGATCAGGTGACCTATGTGTTGCAGGCTGTCCTTATATGATGACAACATAGGAGGAAGTCAGGTGTTGTACGAATAGTGATAAAGTCCACATAAGGAGGCGGTCAAGCTAGTGGTTGGGTCAAATAAACACAGAATTTGAATAGGGAGACTGCCGTTCGTGTCCCGTGTGAGACCAACAGTGTGTTCCAATACCTGTACCACCATACTATTTAGTATGCCAGAAACAAATTAAGTATGTCCTAATACAGTGGCTTTTCTGTGAATATTGTATTGTACTTACAGCCTTTGCCTTTTTCCCCCCTAAATATATGAATAAAAATATCTTCTTCTGCAATTTGACCCTGAATTTGCATGTCATTATGATGTTTTTTTTACCTGATGTTTCAGTGATCTGATATTCAAGGTGATATTCTCGGCACTGCTGGCCTTTTTGTAAATGTATTTTTTGTAAACATATTTTTTTGTAAATATATTTTTTGTAAATGTATTTTTTGTAAATATATTTTTTGTTAACATATTTTTGTAAATGTATTTTTTGTAAATATTTTTTGTAAATATATTTTTGGTAAATGTATTTTTGGTAAATATATTTTTTTTTGTAAATGTATTTTTTTTGTAAATGTACTGAATTCCTGTGGTGTAATTTTGTACTGGTTTTGCAGTGTGTTGTACTCGGTTTCTGCACAGCTACATGTGTCATCACATGATCTGTTGGGCGACCACCAGTGGTTGTATATACAGAAGTGTGTCTCCTTATCTTGTTCATGTCTGATAAAGGGCTGGTGCCCAAAACGTCACATGTGGTGATACGATTAAAATTTCCAAAAGGTGTGGTGTGCGGACCTGTTTATATATTTTCATTTTAGGTCACGCACATACGTAACATCACATCATCATGCTATGTTACATATGGAACTTAGCAACGACCAGCCATCATTCTTTTCCTAAACTAAACCTAACCAGTAGGGGAGCTAATTTGTAAAGTATATGTACTGTTGTATGAGGATAAGTTTCTCATTCATAAATTCACAACTGCTGGAGCTACTGATGGGTAAAACTCTGCATTATGCCTTTAAAGATATGAAAAAAATGCAAAAGGTCACATTTCAATGGACATTTAAAGTTGGAGGGCAGCTCGAAATAAATATATGTATATTACAGCAGTAATTTTGTGGCATCAAGGACCATGTGTCATAAATAACCTTACTTGTCTGTATGTAGCTCAGTTTTGACATTAGTCTGTTCAATATGTCCACAGGTGCTGCAGATGTACCTGCCTTTCTGTGGCATTGCGATCTCCAACGCCCAACTCTTCGCCGCCTCAAGGAAGGAGTATGACCGGAGTCGGGTAAGGATAATAAACCCTCCCATCCCTGGGATCAGCATTACTTCCTCCCCCCTGATGCTGACATTGAGGCCGTTTATTGATCAGCAGCAGCCCACTTGCTGCCACTGCAGGGGAGATCACAGAGCAGCATGCAGCCCTGCATGGACATTTTCTCTGGATCTGGTTGGGGGGGATGGGCCTGTATCCAGACTAGGGCCTGGTCCATGATCTAAATCTCCTAGGGAATGTGAAGAGATGCACTAATTTATGTCACACATTGATCTGTGATGGAAGAGAACATAATGAGAACACAGCTCAGTGAATAGAAGAAAGAAATGAGGAGAGCTGCCTTTACACAGTATGATTTTTATGTGCTTGTGTGTTAAATTGGATTGACACTGCCGTAGATAAAGGGCCTAATTTACTTTTATTAGGGAAGCTGATCATGTTATTTCATCCTGTTGCTTTATGGTTTAAGGATAATAACAACAATCCTGCTCTAACAGCTGAGCAAGGCAAAACGTCTTTATCTAAAGTGGGTTTTTACAGCAGCGTGTGGCTCAGATTGTTGAAGATAATGGCAGTGGTATCTTTTTCTGTCACTGGTGTTCAGGCACTCTTGGAGGTAGTCAATGACCTGTTTGAGGAGCAGACTGACCTGGAGAAGATTGTCAGGAAGATCATGCACCGTGCCCAGACATTGCTAAAGTGCGAGCGCTGCTCTGTTCAGTTGCTGGAGGACATTGAGTCACCGGTACTGTTTTTTCCCCCCCTTGCTGTTCTGCTGTGTATGTATGTCTGTCCATTTGTCCATGTCTGTTCTCTCTGTCTTCCTAGACAGTCAACACTGTACCTCCATTAAAACCTTTCCAGGAATTTAAGTCTCTTTTCAAATCTTTCAGGTGGTGAAGTTCACCAAGTCGTTTGAACTACTGTCCCCTAAGTGTAGTGCAGACACTGAAAGCAGGTATGTATACTGTTTCAGTGTTGAAATCTACTCTGCTCCTCAATTATTTACCTGAACAATGTAGTGTGACATATACATTTTACAAACTTTACGTCTGTTTACTTCCCGTCAGCTCTACAGTAACTTAACCTCTGCCTCAGACTGTAGTGATCAAAGTGTTTTTTCATCCTAGAGTTTGTTAACTCAACCTCACTTTTCACAGTTCGCTTTGTACAAATTGTCAATAGAATTAACTGTTTGAGTTTGTATATCGTGTTACTGATCATTTTGATAATGACCTGAGTCTTTAAATAGCTAAGTTAGCCAGTCAGTTAGCCTAGCTGGCTAATAAAATAATAAAAAGAAAAGTACCGTCAAGTTTATGACGAGAGGGCAGTCAGCTCTTCTGAGCTTTACTGATGGCTCTTTCAAGACGGTGTTTGTCAACTGATTTCTTATTTTTTGGCAGCTCTTCCAAGCATTGAGTTTGAAAATAGCCACATTAGCAACCTTATTTAAAAGTCAGAATTTTGAGAATTATGAAGTTTATTTCTTCATAAAATGTACGCTACCTTGAAAATGGAGCGTTTACACTGCACCAGAAGAAAAACAAGGTCTGTTTCACAACTCAGAAGGTTTAAAGAACAAAATCCAGTTTTTCCTTCCCTTCCATTCCTTAATTCATCTGTCCCTCCTCCCTCCCTTCCTTCCTTCCCCACTTTTGATTACGTATCTAAGATGCTTAGAGGAAATGTACTGGAGTAACAGTATACATTTTATTAAGGAAATGTATTGGAGTGAAAAACAAAGTTGACAGAAATACAAAAACTCAAATAAAGTACAGATACTCCCCCCAAAAATACTTAAATACTGTAATAAAGTATTATTACTTGGTTACATTGCAACACTGCATTTTAGTAAATAGCGAGGCTAGGTGACTGGCTAACCACATTTTTTAAATGATCAATAACACTATATAGAAAAAGGAAAAGTAAATGAAGCTTTGCATTAGTTCATGCAGGACACAGAGGTCAAACGTCCCAGCTGTAACCAGCTTAACAGCCAGCTGATTTGATCATTGATCATCACCTCCTCCACCCCTGTCTTCACCCTCCTAATTCACAGTCCTAACATGGCTTAAAGGTTAAAGGGGTATTTTATGCCTTGCTCTGGGCTCACTCTTGCACACCCATGGGAGTTTTCTGCATTGCACTCTATGTTTTGGTTTAACGCACTGCTTGTCTGATCCAGGGAGCATCTTAAGAGTGCCAACTGCATATCTGTATTTCCATTTATTTGCCTTAAATTTAAAGGATCAAAAAGCACTTTGATCACTATTAGTGGAGGCAAAGGTAACGTTACTGTAGAGTTGACAGGAAGTGAACAGACGTGAAGTTTGTAAAACAGATATACGTCACAGTAGAGAGTAACACCTGGCCTGATGAAAAACACATCTTTGCCCTCCTTTTCCCACACTTGTCACACCAGTAATCTTTTCACCAAACAGTCATATCTTCACCTTTGTTTGTCTTTGGCACCGTGAGACCTGTAAATTCTGCACAGAGCCTGGTTTGAATCCGTAAAGCTTCCATCAAGGGCAAAAAAATAAGGGAAGTACAAACATTGAATATTCTGTAGTGCTGTGGGAGTAATATGCTGATGCTGAATAGAAGGCATACTGTAGGAGCCCTACTTAATTGGGTTTTGCTGCTTCTCTCCACTGCTAGGGACGGCTGAGTGGAGAAGGAGAGGCTTAATATTGTGTGGGATGTTTATGGATGAAAACCAATGCTGAGAGGAAGACAAATTATCCTGCACATGACGTAACTGATACGGTCACTTCTAACACAAGAAATTTGTAGTAATCTTTTTGACTACACACTCCCTAATGATCTTTGTTTCTGATGTGACATATAATAAATAGACAGCTTGTGATTTCAAGTAGCAACATTTCAAACCAAGCTAACATGACATAGGTACAGTATCTCTGATGACGCTAAAGGTTCACATCTGAACAACAATGGCTGCTGTGCGAGATTCACGTGTGTAATTGGGTGAATAAATTTGGTGTCAGAAGGCAAGCGTACAGTAGGATGTCTAATGTGCCTTACAATACCCTGCCGCCCCCACGGGGAGGATAATGTTGAGTGAGTGTACAGTGCTGCTAGTGTGTCTGTGGCAGCTAAATGACAGACATGAGACAGGGATGAGAGAAAGGAGAGCAAGACAGAAGAAATAGGTGAGGCATCTCGCCATCACACCCATGAGGTTTACCCCCTGCCACACACATAGCTGTGTCACTCAATCAAAAGGGATTCAAAAGATCTGACATCAGTGTCTCTCCATCTTTGTTCCAGTGTCGAAAGAGAAAAACGAGCCACACTGAACATTTATCTTGTTGTGTTTGAAGGTAAAATGTCAGCAGTAAATGGGAATAGGAAGTGTGTGCAGGGATGAAGGTGTTTCTGTGGCAGAGTGTGGGGGTATTTGGCAATGAGAGAGACAACTGCACAATTAACTTTTCATTAATTCATAAGCTGCGTGAAAGAGAATAAAAACTTCTTTTCTTGACTATACTAAAAGTTTTTATCTTTATGATGACAAAGTTGTCAGCTAAAGGAATGCGTTTTCAGAATCAAACCTCTCCAGTAAAAAGTCAAGTGGGCAAATTTGGCCAAGTATTGTTTTTCTTTCATAATCCTCCCCTCTTATTGTCTGACCCTAGTTTCAAAGACAGCATGGAGAAATCGTCCTACTCTGACTGGCTCATCAACAACAGCATCGCAGAGCTGGTAGCTTCCACAGGACTCCCTGTGAACATTAGCGATGCCTATCAGGATCCTCGCTTTGATGCTGAGGTAAACACACAATGACATGCCTTTGAAATTTGACATCCAAGTGAACAAACCGCCATGAAATATGCATGGGACGATTATCATTCAGGTCGTAGCAGTTCTAGAAGTGCTCAATCAAAGCTAGACTTACTGCCTGGTTTTGAAGATGCTTCACTTCAGTTCCACTAACTAGCATTAGTTAGCTAGCTAGCGATTTTAATCCTCTTTGGGATGTCCACACGTCGATGTCACAGGCAAGTCAATGAGGTCACATGGGATTCATTAATGGCTGTGGAACTGCCTCAGGGGTGAAGTCAGTAGGGCATTATAAGTATGCATTTTGATTATTAGACAGATGGTGTAAAACAGAGATGAAGGAGACCATTGAAGTCAAACTGTAACATCCATCTCTGAGCTTTTTTTTTCCAGTTTAAGCTCCTGTCTTTACACCCAATTCAACATGGTTTCATAACAATCCACTTGTTAATTAATTGGGCTCTGATCTTTCACATGATTGTCATGTGACCTTAAAGAAGTATCTCACCACTGGAGAGGTGGGCTTTTAATAAACTAGGATGTCTCTGCAGAAGAAAGGTGCAAAATAATTTTGAAATTGGTGGTACACGATCACAGAAAACAGAGGGAGAACCTACAACCACCAGAATGCACTGCACCGCACCAGACCAATAAACACTCCAACTAAGAGGTGACATATTGCATAACCGTCCGTTTGAAACAATGGCGGCCAGCTGGTAACAAACGATCTCGTATTACAGTTTAACAGTGAACTAAAACATGTTTCTGAAAACATTTCAGGCAAGAAATATGCAACTCAATGACAGAATCTTGGTTTGTATTTGATCAGCGCTGCCTAGTTTTACTGTTTGATCCAGTTTTTTTTTGTTTTTTTCATTATCACTGTGCAGGAAACAGCATGGCGCCCACTTCCTGTTTACAAACGTTCACTATTACAGCTAAACACAGCACTAAAATATGTTTCTAAAAACATTTTAAGTGAGAAATAGGTAATGCAATTACATAGTCATGATTTACAGTCGATCAGCACTGCCTAGTTTTACTGGTTGGATTCTTGTCTGTGTTCGAGAGAGAGAGAAATTCTGTCTATTAATCTGCTTCTGTACTTTTTGTTTCCGCGGGGTGGCGGGCAAAATGAAAATGTGGAAGTACAACCTGTAGTTTAAGCAACAGTCCCAAGTGCCAGTGAAACTCTGCTGAAATACGTGTTTTGTATCAATTTGTCATATGGAGTTTCGCCAGGCGAGAGATGGAGGGAAATTTACCACAGCTCATTCACACATACTACACACATTGTTTTGATACAAAGCTACAAAAAGCTGTACTTTAAAGGGACAAATCACCCCCAAATCAGAAATACATTTTTTTCCTCACCCGTGGTGCCAATTATCAGTCTTGATTATTTTGGTGTGAGCTGGCAAGTATTGGAGATATCAGTCATAGAGATGTCTGCCTTGTTTTGAATGTAATGGAACTAGATGGCACTCAGCTTGTGGTGCTCAAAGCGCCAAAAAAGTACATTTGAAAAACTCAACAGCAATGTCTCTTTCCAGAAATCATGACCTGATTACTCAAGATAATCCACAGACCTTGTTTTCTTGGCATCACATGGTGCGAATTTATATACTACTCATTTTTCCATTTTGTCAGCTGTTAATTGATCTCCGTAGGATAAAGGCCCTTTTAAACCAGGAAGCACAACCACAGCGGCCAGTGCTGATGCAGTGTAGATCTAAACAGAGTCCCACAGTGGCTAGCACAGCAGTCCGCTCTGCATCCAGTGGCAAGCAGCAAAAGTTTGACATGGTCAACCTTAAGCAGCAGTGACAGAGAAATGTAAAATGTGTACTGGGTGGAAAAGCTAGCAGCAGGCTCTCACTGCAATGAAAGGAGGGGGGAACTTAGTGTGTATCGCTTTTCAAGTGCTTTAAGGGTTCTTACTATACTTCCATATAGCCTTGCTCTTCCATTAGAGGTGAGGCATGTATGCATACTTAGTACTCTGTATAGAGAGCAGGGTATCGTTTTAAATCTTCCAATACTAGTGCTAATACTATACTTGAGTTTCAGAAGAGATCCTTAATTTCAAACTTTGAAGAATATAAACATATCTTTTGAATATGTCTCAAATGCATCAGTGCTTGATGCTCTATTCTAAATTCTAAAAGAAACACAGTTTTAAATGAGTAAAATTGTTATTTAAAAATAAAAATAACAAATTAAAGAGCAAGTAAACATGAAAGGTTGCACTAGAGATTATTTTTGTAATTTATTCATTCACCTGTTTTGTCATATTTAAAAATGTGGGTTGATAATCAGGAAGTTTTGAGATCCTAATACCCAGTCTGTTTATACTTAAAGCTGGGGTAGGCAGAAGTCTGAATAAATCCAAAAAAACAAACAAAAACAAAATTTCCTCCCACTGCAGCTCGTTCTTCTCCCCTCTCTCTCCTAAGTAAGCAGCAACCTCCGTGGCTGGAAAATAAAGCCAACATACAAGTGCCAAAAACAGCCGTTCTTTGAATGGCCATTTAAGGCTGGCTCTGGAAGCCACTCAGTCCCCGTAGACCCCCAAGGTTTTGGCCTCTACAGCTTATATCCCCATTTAGAACATCCAATAGTGTCCTCTGCTTCTCAAACAAATGCACTTCTCGCTCCTATAAATCACCAGCCTCTCGCCAGAATATGGTCACTTCTGGCTCCAAAGAACCAAGATGGCTTCAAAACAGGAGTCACAAACCAATGTGCAACATTATGGTATCACCGTCCATTATTTTTCAGTCCATGGTCCAAAGCCCCTCCCACCAGATGACCACAGGCCTATGCACACGCTTCATACAGTAACCTAGGGTTTCCCATAAATTGAGGATTCAATTTCCAATAAATCCAGTTTCACTGAAGAGCTCTCTCTGTTTATCAGACCATAAATGAGACAAGAATTAGCTAGCCAGCCACCCTGCTCCCCACCACTGTGGACTGCTCTGCCGTGAGGAGATGCAGCAGCTCTGGAGATGGTCTCCAGTGGGGTGGTAGCAAGTGGCAGACCCAGGTCTAACCTGTGTTACAGCAGCAACAGAAAGTTTGCTGATCCAGCAGGAAGTGAGGGCAGTACAGTCCCCTAGTGCTAGGGTCTGTGCTGGCTGGAGGCGGGTAACAGCGGCCGCTGACTGGGTGTCCACCTCCATCGGTTAGCAGAAGGCTAAACTATTAGCATCATTTTCCCTCCATTTTTGAAATGCTTTGCTGATATTGACACGTTTTATTTTGTTTATTGTCAGTCTCTCTTTTTGATAAGTTTGTCTTCCTTTTTTGGGTTGCTCTGTGGTAAAGGTAGTTGTTGCCAATGCTAGATTAGCTACTTACTCTGCAAGACCTTGAATCATGCTTTCACCGAAGAGACGTAAACACCATCTGCATTTGTAGAGCAGCCAATAGGAATGCCCTCTCTCTGAAATGACCTGTGATTGGCCAAAGTCTCCCTTCATGGGCTAGATTGCCTGAAAACAGAGCCAATGGGAGATTCAGAAGTCTAGTTTTCTCTCAGTCCACTTGACTTACAATATGCTCAAAGTTTATGATGGTGTTTTGGGACAGTGACGCAAAATTTAAACCGCCTACCCCAGCTTTAGAGGCAAACCTTCAGAGAACAGTGCAAGGAAATGTTTTATGCAGATGGATGTAATCCTCATTTTATACTGTATTCACACTCCTTTTGTTTTTAGGCAGACCAATTCTCGGACTTCCACATCCGCTCTGTGCTTTGTGTTCCCATATGGAACAGCAACCATCAAATCATTGGTAAGTCCACTTTTTCTCTTTGTCTTATTGATGTATGTACTTAAGGTTTTCATTAGGTATATTAATCCTATTTTTCTTTTAACTTTGCACATGTGTTTTAAAAGGTATTAAAGTTTGGGTACTGTGCCGTACTATACGGCTGGATACCTGACTATCACACCCATGTGATTATTTGTTGAGATCAGGCACTGATGTTGGGCAATAAGGTCTGGCTTGCAGTTGGCATTCGGTTCATCCCAAAGGTCAAGGTCAGTCGAGTTCTTCCACACGAAACTCTGAAAACTCTATTTTAGGGTGCTGGCTTTGTGAACATGAGCATTGTCACGTTCAAACAGGAAAGTGCCTTCCCCAAACTGTTTCCACAACTTTGAAGCAGGTGTTCATGTTATTGATCATAGTCTTTTTGATGCAGATATCATGGCTGCTTATCTCTGGATCTACAATACTTGGGTGCTGATTCCATATGTATTGCGATTTTTAAGTATTGCGATTCAATATATCCAATTAAGGAGTTTCTTTTTATTTTTTTTAATACTAGACATGGGAAAAAGTGAAATCCTAGACTCTATATAATGAGACATGTAAAGACACAAAAAACATGCACGTTTTATGTCAGTCAGTCTTTCTGTTATTTCAGCAGCATCACACACTGCATAGAAAATGGTAAAACTGTTTCTATGGTCTTATTTTTAACAATTTTACTCCAGTGAAGTACTTTGTGACCTTGCTCTGTGAAATGTGCTATATTAACTTCACTTTACTTACTTGATAAAAATGTGCATGTACAATAGAATGAATTAAAAAAATGTACTTTATAAAGTTATCATAAACTGCTACATTTAGCTGTCTCTGCTCATCATGCAGTGTTTCCCATACATTGATTTATTTGTGACGTCTGTCACAATATCAACATTGACCACCACTTAACATTTTTTTGTATTTTTTAGTATTTAAAAGGGGTATTTTTTATTTCTTTGCTCTTGATCTTTTTTTCTGGTCATCAGACCACAAATGAAACAAGAATTAGCTAGCTCGGGCACCCCGTCATCCTCCTGCCTCACTCTCTGCCTCACTCTCCACCAGTAGGATAAAAATTGCTGGGAGGGAGAGTGGGTGGAAGCTCCGGAGTAGGACCCTCAGTAACAGCTGCAGCAACTCAAATTCAGCTGATGCAAACCCCAGTGCGGGGGCTCATGGCAGGCAGGGTCTAATTCGTGTAAAGGCAGCAACAGAAAGTTTGCTGATCCGGTGGGGAGTTTGTGCTGAACTGGCTAAATACAAGTGGCTACTGGAGCAGCTGAAGGTCCATGTCCTCAGACTGTCTGCCATTTTCTGCTTTCTTGCTATGGCTTTGTTCTTCTTAAAACGTCACTTGATATGACGTCATGTGATTTATATTACCACAATAAACGGGGCAACTTCGTTGCACCTTCACATTTATTTGATCAATTCAGGGATTAAAAAAATTGATTTAAAGATCGTAAAAAGAAAAATCACTACACTTAATTAAAGTTATTTTTGTCCCACCCCTCACAGATATATTGTATATTCAGTCCCAGCATCATATAGCATCCACATGCACTCATAATGTGGGTTTCAAATTTCTTTCCCCCCGTTTTTGCTGCATAGCAGACAATAGGGGAGAGGGGAGCTTGAGCGTGTGTTCAGCTGAGGCTGCATGTGTGTGATTAGACCCACGCTGCAGCATCACTCCACGCTTGGAGGTGGAGTTCCCTTCTTCTGGCTGTGTGCTTTGTGTTTGTGGATCAGCCCCAGGCCAACACCACACTGACACTCTGATAAATCATTGATCTCTCGTCTCGGCTTTGGTGCTGGATATTGCAGGGAGGAGCAATGATAGCAGCTCCTCTCGGTCCACTGAGATCTGACGCAGGAAGTCATTAGTTATATTTGAGTGCAAAGTGATCAGCATATCTGCCGCAGATGGTTGGTTAAGACCTGTGTGTGTGTCTGTGACTGTGTGTGTGTGTCCGTCTGTGCGTAATGTCTGTGTGTGCTTACGCTTCTTTTTTTTTTTTTTTTTGCGTAGGTGTAAGTGCATTTGTTGGGGAGGGGAGAGGGAAGAGGAAGAAGAACAGAAAGAGAGTGAGGGGAGAAAGAAATGCAGTGTGTGTGGGTGGCACCTGAGGATCTGGAGTGAAAAAAAAAACATTATACAAACAAAGCAGCAGGAGATGAAATTCTCAAGCCAAGGATACATTCAGGTAGAAAACGAATGTCCTTGTGTCATCCGCCAAGGTTACAGTAGGCTCCTTCAAAACGTAACCGCAAGAAATACCGTTGACACTATAACAACAATGAAGTTTAATGATAAATATCAAATGTGAGTAAAATCATTTTAGCACTTCAAGGTTCATTTATTGTCATTCTACAACACAGGGTTGCACAACGAAAAGCAAGTTGTAGTCTCTTTATATTACACAAGAAAAAAACAGGTGGATGCAGAACTTGCCTCAGTAATAAAGGTGCAAGCAGTAATTCTGGGGTTTAAGTCAGAAGAGGAAGGTGAACGTTTGGTTCAGTTGGTTCAAGATTGGGACACATTCTCACCACAAACAAACTGCACCAGAGTTTGTTTGTAACCAGACCGAGACCACATCTTCAAGAACGTCTCGGTTTGGTTGTTTAGGTGCAATTGCTGTGTTCACACCTGCCCAAATGAACTGCACTTAGGAGGAAAATAAACTTAAGTTTAACTGAACTGAACAAAACAGGGCAGGTGTGAAAGCACCCTTACTTAACAGCGCCATTTGTTGTTACACAAACTGCATGTCCCATTATGATTAACAGCTAGGCTATTGTATTACTTTGAGTTTAGGTTGGTTGGTATAATTACTTATCGAGTTGAAAGGATAGTTTGGATTTTTTGAAGTGGGATTGTATGAGGTTACCTATAGTCAGTATATAACAGACAGTAGATGTCAGTCGGCACGCCCCACGTTTGGAGAAGCAGACAGGAGTAGAAGCTAAGCAATGTACTGCTATGGATGGGGGCAGCAACAAAACGTATTTAAGCCACCTAAAAAAAAAAAAAAAAAAAAAATCAATATCCGTTTAAGTGTGGACTATTTATTTAGAAAAATTTCACTGATTTACCTTGCCGTTTGTGACAACAATTTATCTATGCTCTCTTCAAATCAGCTCCATTGACAAAAACCATGCCTTTACCTTGCTGAACACAGAAGCTGTTGGTCTATCACTGCCTAGATATTTGTTTGTGTTATTGTGTGACTTTGCTGTTTAAAAGCGTTCAATCAGATTCACCAAAGAAACATAGTGAAACAAACTAACAAACTGATCGAGGCAGTGGTAGACCAGCAGCTCCAATGTTCAGCACACTAAGGAACTGTTTCAATACCCCCCCTTAGCCCTACCCCTTGGCCCTACCCCTACATTTGTGCGTTCTCGTGAGGGGTAGTGGTGTTCCAATTTCTTTTTGCGTGTAGGGGTAGGGGGCATAACGAGGGGTAGTGGGCATAACGAGGGGTAGTGGGTATGAAACTAGCCCTTCGGAGCAAGGGATTTCAGATGCTGACTTGCCAGCGAGGGGTAGACGTCGCCATGGCTACCACCGAGCAAGCACGGGGAAAAAAGTTCATACATAGCTAACGTTACCGTCGTCAGATTACTTGTAAACTAGGCCGCACTATCTGGCGTCTGATATCTGTCCTGTTCTGCAAAATTGTCGGACTTTTCACGTTACGATAACACGCCAGCTAGTATAACTATGCTGCCTTGTAATGTTAGCTGGTTAGCTAGCTAGCTAGCTCGCACTATCTGGCGCCTGTCATCTGTCCTTTTCTGCAAAACTGTCGGACTTTTCACATTACGATAACACGCCAGCTAGAATAACTATGCTGCCTCGTAATGTTAGCTGGTTAGCTAGCTAGCAGAAGTCCCCTGTCGTCTGTCGTTCATCAAACGAAGCACGATGAATAATGCAAACGCGATTGTTAACGTTAAGATGAATGAGACTTCATTGTAGATGCCAGTTGGAAATGTAGATGGCTCGCAGGTTTCTGTTTAAAATAGTTACGTATGCGTGAACGTAACCGATGCGATGATGTAGTGAGTGGTGTTCCAATTCCTAGGGCAAGATTTCTACCCCTACCCCTCGTTGCTTTGAGGGCCAAGGAGTAGTCGGCAATGGCTAGGGGTAGGGCCAAGGGCTAAGGGGTAGTGGACAAGGGGGGTATTAGGATTGCGCCTTAAATTATTGTTTTTGCTAATGAGGTCTGTTGATTTTGGAGTTAGCAATAATGGTTTCAGTACCCCATCAGAAAGAGCTGTCTGATGGCAAGATACAGTGGTGAAAATATTCTAAATATAGCGTACACTTAAACTGATAATTATTGTTTTAAAGTGGCTAAAATATGTTTTGCTGCTGCCCCCCATCTACAACTGTAGATCACTGAGCTTCTACAGTGGTACACCTGCCTGCTTCTCCAAAGTCGGGGCACGTGAACTGCCATCTACCGTATGGAATACACTGACTATGGATATGGAAAATACAAAATTTGATACCATCTTCCAACTCCCAATATCAGTGACACAACACATGGGTAATTTATGTAAAAGCTCCTAATGGAGCTGCAGATTATTGCCACTTTATGTGTTTTTTGTGATTATGAAATACCCGTGACATCAGGAATGTGGTGTATTAAATATGATGTGGTGGCCACGGGGCTCTGAGCAGCCATTTAGTTCACTTATGCTTGGGGCCACCTATGTGGCAACTCATCACAAATTACACGCTCATTACAGAGGGAGCAATAATAGATCTGAGAAAACATCAGGCTTGTATTTTAAATGTAATGATGCCATAATGAAAATTGTTCATGGCTACAGTACTAATCCAGATTCTCCTCTGTGGATTTCCAGCCATACACTGAAATTAAAATGTCACTTTGGCAGGTTTGTTTGACCTCCTAGAGATAAATAAAGATGGTAATGTATTGTGTAATTACTTTTTAGCATAATTTCTCACCGACAATAAACGTCAGTCTCTATCAATTAAATGTTTATGCTTTATCAACAAAGCCTTCCTCTGTTTTTAATTAGATGATGAGCGGAGCCATCTAAAAAGGGAATTCTGCTGTCATATACAAAGGCTTCAATGCCAACGCAGCATTGTGGATGATAACGATGTCTTGTCATAGATAACATTAATTGAATGCCAATTTCACCAGTGCTGGATTTTTTCTTTGTTTTGCATAACCTTGTTACATACTAATTTTGTGATTGGATGTTGTGTCTCTGCTTAATTTCCATTAATAATGCACATTAGTCGATGACATTGAGTGTGTGGGTTTGATCCTCTTTTAATTGAAGGCAGGTTAGGCAGGAGTCGTGCCTATATAGGAGCTTAAACATTACGTTGCTATTGTATGTTTGTGTAACAGGTGTCGCCCAAGTGCTGAACAGGCTCGATGGGAAACCATTCGATGACGCAGACCAGCGTCTCTTTGAAGTATTACCCCTGCTTCTATTTCCTTTACAACATACAGTAGATTGTGGGTGCATCTGAAAGTGTTGTAGCTGAGTGTGTGTGCTCTTTGTTACTTTCTCAGGCGTTTGTGATCTTTTGTGGACTGGGCATCAACAACACCATCATGTACGACCAGGTGAAGAAATCTTGGGCCAAGCAGTCTGTGGCTTTGGATGTAAGAACACATTTGATTTCCTGCCTCACATCACTGTTTGAAAATAAAGATTTCTTCCATGTTTTGAAGAAGAAATCTTTTATTTCCTGATTTAATTTAGACAAAACAAAACATTACTATGCAAAATGTAATGCGGCTTCACAGTATTGACTTAAAGGGATAGGTAGGATTTTTTAAGTGTCATTTTATGAGGTTTTTATCCATAGTCAGTGTATTACATACAGTACATGGCGGTCAACACTCCTCCAGTTTGGAGAAGCAGACAGGAGTACTGACCTAGAAAAGAAACAATGCACTGCTAAGGACGGGGGCAGCAACAAAACATTTTCGTCAGCTAAAAAAAAAAAAATTGACAATCAGTTTAAGTTACAATATATTGAGAATATTTTCAGTGCTTTACCCTGCCCAGTGAGTGATTTTTGATAGACTCTTTTAGAGCCAACATCACAATGACGTTAGTTTGTTAGCTGGAGGCAAAACACGCCTCTCCACCACAGGGCTGTAGGCTAGAAGGAGTCATGGCTCAAAACTTATATTTTATCACATACCAGCCGCCACTATCCGTCAACAAAAACAAAGACAACTATGATTAAATGTAATAAGACAAAAGGACTGGATGGAGGCGATCATCACAAATGCTAGTATGTACAGCACACAATTCATATCAGGTTAGGCGAAAAGTATTTCCTGTTGTAGGGATGAATAACATTGTGTTTTAAGGGTTATCATGTCCACCTAATCAGAAATTGGGGAGGTATTAAGAGGAATATTGGATTTCTCTGCAATGCTAACTTTTTAGCGCATTAGCTAACGTTAGCTTTGACAGCAAAACAAACTGGAAGAAAACTGTTCCCTTCAAACACCAAAGTCACACAACATCACAATCAAAACTGATGGAGGCAGCAGCAGCTCCTGTGTTCAGTGATGTTAAATCGAAAAAGAAAAAAAATGTGTCTGTTGGCCTTATGAGTGCAAAACGAGTTATTGCTACTAACTGAAAGACTACTGATAATATTAATGTAAAATCTTGGATACAAACCTTTGAAACACTTCTAAGTTTAGAGCAAGCATCCAATTCTATATACACTCCCTCCTACAAAACTTGGAATCAAATTAACGTGTAAATTCACAACAATATCACCTGCCTCAACTAAAAAACATTATTTATGACATTATTTATGGTACTTATATATGAAAAGTATGTGTATGTGTGGGGTCTGTGTTATAGTTATATGTATGTTTATGTCAAGGATTGTATCAAAGATCTGAATCTAGCATCCACTCCAGGATACAAGCACAGTTGTATGATATGAACTCTTTTCACCATCTCAAAATGTTGTTGTTATTGATTTTCTTTGTAACTGATCTGACTGTTGATCTACTATTGTGAATTCTTTACCCCCTGAGCATCAAAAAGCAAATAAAATATATATATACAGTACAGGCCAAAAGTTTGGACACACCTTCTCATTCAATGCGTTTTCTTTATTTTCATGACTATTTACATTGTAGATTCTCACTGAAGGCATCAAAACTATGAATGAACACATGTGGAGTTATGTACTTAACAAAAAAAGGTGAAATAACTGAAAACATGTTGAGTTCTAGCAGCAGACCCATCTCTAGAACAACTGTTAAGAGGAGACTGCGCCAATCAGGCCTTCATGGTCAAATAGCTGCTAGGAAACCACTGCTAAGGAGAGGCAACAAGCAAAAGAGATTTGTTTGGGCCAAGAAACACAAGGAATGGACATTAGACCAGTGGAAATCTGTGCTTTGGTCTGATGAGTCCAAATTTGAGATCTTTGGTTCCAACCGCCGTGTCTTTGTGAGACGCAGAAAAGGTGAACGGATGGATTCCACATGCCTGGTTCCCACTGTGAAGCATGGAGGAGGAGGTGTGATGGTGTGGGGGTGTTTTGCTGGTGACACTGTTGGGGATTTATTCAAAATTGAAGGCACACTGAACCAGCATGGCTACCACAGCATCCTGCAGCGACATGCCATCCCATCCGGTTTGTGTTTAGTTGGACGATCATTTATTTTTCAACAGGACAATGACCCCAAACACACCTCCAGGCTGTGTAAGGGCTATTTGACCAAGAAGGAGAGTGATGGAGTGCTGCGGCAGATGACCTGGCCTCCACAGTCACCGGACCTGAACCCAATCGAGATGGTTTGGGGTGAGCTGGACCGCAGAGTGAAGGCAAAGGGGCCAACAAGTGCTAAACACCTCTGGGAACTCCTTCAAGACTGATGGAAAACCATTTCAGGTGACTACCTCTTGAAGCTCATGGAGAGAATGCCAAGAGTGTGCAAAGCAGTAATCAGAGCAAAGGGTGGCTATTTTGAAGAAACTAGAATATAAAACATGTTTTCAGTTATTTCACCTTTTTTTGTTAAGTACATAACTCCACATGTGTTCATTCATAGTTTTGATGCCTTCAGTGAGAATCTACAATGTAAATAGTCATGAAAATAAAGAAAACGCATTGAATGAGAAGGTGTGTCCAAACTTTTGGCCTGTACTGTATATATATGAAAAAAAAGTTAAATCGCTGTTTTTCTTCATGGGGCCTGGCTTTGAAGAGAGCAATATAATAGCTTCAGTTTCCTATCAGAAATTGCTGTCTGACAACAAAGTAAAGTGGTGAAAATATTCTAAATATAGTGTACACTTACATTCTTTAGGTGGCTAAATTACATTTTGTTGCTGACCCCATTCACAGCAGTATATCGCTAAGCTTCCGTGTTGTATTCCAGCTTGCTTCTCCAAACTGGGGGTATGCTGACCTAATCTACTGCACTCTAAAAAGAATTCACTAGTTCAGCTTAAAAAAAGTAAGGTAAGGCCTTATAAAGTAAACACTATGAGTCTTTTATAATCTGACAAACTCAGCTAGTTGAAGTTGAATCAACTTGATATTTAGTGGTCAAATTATTTTATTTAAGATATTCTAACTTATTTATTTTAATTCCATCCTATTGAAAATAAGCTGTCGACTGACTAAAACATGTTAATGAAACAAACGTCTTTATTTTAAGTGTTATCCACTAACCAAATTAATAATTTTTTAGAGTGCGTAGGTAATACTTTGACGATGGATAAGTGCTGCACACAACCCACTTTTAAAGACCCAAACTAACCCTTTAAGTTGATTCTGCTCTGCTCCTGCTTTATACTGCAGTTTCCTTTTGTCATGCCTGTATGCTCATTGTGTTTGTGTCAGCTTCATGCCCTCCCTCGGATGATTTTTCACTGTGTGTCCTATCTGTTCTTGTATTCCATTAGCTGTTACGGTGCCTTTATTTTCCTTTCCAGTCAACATACGCTCTGTGCTGAAACATTTACCCAGAAGTCACTGGAAACAACGGCTGCTGCATGGCTAATATAAAACCTCTTCGTACTTATTCTCTCTCAGGGGTATTTGTGCTTGGCTCCTGTTTTAGTCTCATATTTCCACAAGAATGTACGCATGAAAAAAAGTGCTGATGTCTCTTTGTAGATAACCTTCTCACAAAGGTTTTATTGAAAATTAATGAGAGGCAGTGAAAAGCAATCCCTCATCTGCCCTGCAGTGTGTAGGCATTCAGCACTACCCAGCCTTTACAGTACGTCCTTACATTACAATGGGGAGCTTTAAGGTGCATTATAGTAGTTAGCACCACTCTGTTTTAAGATAGGAGCAGCAGCAGAGAACAGAGAGATATAACATTTAAAAGGAGAGGCACAGAATGAACTAATATGTAGATGCATTGCTTCTGGCAGCGCTGAATAAACATGAGCATTTATGATCAAATAAGCAACTGGAGGTCTGTGTGAGGTATTTCTCTCAGGAAATGAAGGGAACATGGCGATGGAATCGGGGCTGACATTGCAACACTTGTAGACCGCTCTAGAGGCGAGTGTCAACTTCCTCATCTGGAAGATCCACTGAAAAAAGCTGTGTGCAGTATTTTCAGCCGTAGCTTCTCTTTCAGAGCCCCACTGGTTATTTTAATGATTTGAAAAATACTTTGAGTGACACTGTGTCATTATTTTGCAGGTTCTGTCTTACCATGCCACTTGCTCCAAGACTGAAGTTGACAAATTCAAGGTAACAGATATTCACTGCTATCATCATTACATTTGTCTCAGCAAGCCCGGCTTTTCTCAGTACTGACAGTAGTAGTCAGTTTTCTACACTCTCTTTAACAGTAGGAACATTACTGTCTTAGGTTAGGCGATATTCTAAATAAAGCCAGGATAAATCACATACATAACTTCAAATTCTACGTTGTTGTGTCTTGATCATATTGTCTATTATTTTCTCCCCAGATTTGCTAACCCATCAAACTTAAAGCTACAGTTGGTATCTGTTATATAAAAATAACGTTTTGTCATATTTGCAGAGACTGTCGCTACATACAAGAGTACAGGAAACAGATGATTTGTGGGAAAAAAATCATACTCCTTGGCCTCCACATAGTGCTTCTGATGGCTTTTGCAAGAATCCACCGCATGTAAAATAAACAACCAATCAGCGCCAAGGAGTCTGATGCAGTTGTCAATCATGTTAATATTGGCTTGTGGAATGCGAAAACTATCAAACTAGGCAGCGCTGATCAAATCTTAATAAATATTCCGTTACTGCATTGCCTATTTCATTCCTCAATGTTTTCAGAAACATATTTTAGTGTACTGTTTAGCTGTTAGATGAAAAAGTTTGCTCCAGTGGACAGTGCTTGGTTTTGGCTTGACTGTTTCCATCGGGCGGCACGGTGGTGTGGTGGTTAGCACTCTCGCCTCACAGCAAGAGGGTTGCCGGCTTGATCCCGGGCGTGGGAGCCCTTCTGTGCGGAGTTTGCATGTTCTCCCCATGTCAGCGTGGGTTCTCTCCGGGCGCTCCGGCTTCCTCCCACAGTCCAGACATGCAGATTGGGGACTAGGTTAATTGATAACTCTAAATTGTCCGTAGGTGTGAATGTGAGCGTGAATGGTTGTCTGTCTCTATGTGTCAGCCCTGCGATAGTCTGGCGACCTGTCCAGGGTGTACCCTGCCTCTCGCCCAATGTCAGCTGGGATAGGCTCCAGCCCCCCCGCGACCCTCAAGAGATGAAGCGGTTAGAAGATGAATGAATGAATGAATGTTTCCAACATCGCGGCCGGTCACAACCTTTCTCATTTTACAGCTAAACAGTACACTAAAATATGTTTCTGCTAATATTTGAGGCAAGACAGAGGCAATGTAGTAACAGAATCTAGATTTGTATTTGAACAGTGCTGCCTAGTTTTGACAGTTTGGCCGCAGTTCACGAGCAGTTATTGACAAAATTGACAGAGACTTATCAGCTCTGATTGGTTGCTTTCGTTCACGTGCAGTGGATTCTAGTAAATGCCATCAGAAGCACTACAAGAAGGAATGTGATTTTTTTTCCACATACTGTTCTTCTCATGTACTACTGGGTGGATATAGTGACAGCTGTTTATTTTTATAGAACAGGGTATCTACAAGTATCAGACAGTTAAATTTAATGCATTTAAGACAGATTTTACCCAAATTTAACCCTAACCCACAAAAAGAAATTAAACAATGGATAAATTAAATAAGATAAAATGTTTGCAGTAGTTAAGACCTCACAAATTCAAATTTAAGACTATTTGACTTTTAAGGCCTTGTGTTGGAATACTTAATTTAACATTTTAAGACTTTTTTTAAAGATATTTTTTGGGGCATTTTTAGCCTTTATTTGATAGGACAGATGAGCGTGAAGGGGGGAGAGAGAGAGAGGGAGTGACATGCAGCAAAGGGCCGCAGGCTGGAGTCGAACCTGGGCCGCTGCGGCAACAGCCTTGTACATGGGGCACCTGCTCTACCACTAAGCCACCAACACCCCATTTTAAGACTTTTTAAGGACCTGCAGACACCCTGTAGCTTTAATTTTAAAGAGGAAAAAAAGTGTCCATGCCGTTAAATACATTACACAATTAAAACTACAAGCAGAAAACGAGACGCCATCATCAAACAGTTTCCTACCGATCTCATCAATAACAAGCTCCGGTGGCGCACATGGAATATTTTCATTTTCATCTCTTCAAGGGATTCGTTGACATTAAGAAAAATATACAGCCTTTTCCTTTAAACAAAACCTGTGAACAAACAACAAGATCACAGGGGCACATGTTTCCATTACAAAGTGTATTCTGCTTTAAATGAGAATTGTTGCCAAAAAGCTGCAGTTCAGAGTAAACATGTTCAACATACATCTTCCTCAAAGTAGAGGATGAGGGAGGATGTGGAGTCATTTCTTACACCTGTTAGCTGAAAAAGAGCCAACAAGTCGTCACATTTCAAAGACAAAACAGGTCATTTGTCATTGCCTGGACACATATGAATGTTTTCTGAGTAGTCATGTAGTCTGTTCTTTACATACTGCAGTGTGTACACACTCTCAATGCGGATTACAATTTGTGTATCAGGTTTGCTCTGCTGGCACAGGTAATTGCCATAATATAATTTCATTGTTTTATCATTTCCGTAAATGCGTTCCTTTAATGTCTCCGCTTTTTATTGATTCAATTAAGACAAATTAAAATATCAAAGGTCCATTATGATTCTGCTAAACCCCTCCATTTAGTAAGAGTATGATGCAATGCTTCAGCAGTAAAAAAGATTTAGATTTCTCTGACGCCCGAAATGTAACTGTTATTTACAAGAGGGGTAAAGTCCTGGAAATTTAGCTCATGGGCCCTTTAATTAAGATATTTTTGTCTAATTAAATAATAATCTTTCATTACTTTTAATGGGAAAGAAAAAAATCTATGGTTAAAGAAATGAATTATTGGCAGCCTGTCTTCATTTTACAGGTCCTCCAAACAACTGCTGTGGCACGCAGGCATAAATATGGGTCGAGAATTCCCCGAAGAAAATAAACTAATTGTGGTATTTGAAATGGATTACTCCAATCAATAGGCAATCATTCTCAATGCATTACTTATAAAGAGTAAAATGTGAAAATATCTACATCTTTAATTGGCATGACACTTCTGAAATATAGATATGACCTATTTTTCTGCACTTTCATGTGTTGGATTTTCCCCTGTGGCCATCACGGCAAAGTAGGAACCCCGCTTTCTAGCGTGTGCTCGTGTGATCTTTCAGCCCCCTCATCCAGCGCCGCTCTCCGCTTCCTGCCTTTCTCCCCCACTTTCTTTCATAACTGCTCTACATACAGAGCCTCGCAAAGCACACTTGACTGGGATTCCACCGCAGTGCAAATGGCAGCGGCAAACAAACCTGGCTGACATTTCGTAACCCGGGGCTGTGAATTAAGAGAGAGGAGAATACCTGCTGACCTGACAGGCAAACATTTGTGAAGGCAGACATGATGCTGGTGGCTGTTAGAGAGGAGAGACAGGGAGACAAAAGACAAACATGGCTGTGCTGAAAAACAACACAGATTTGTAGGAGAGCTGTGACTCTTTGGAATGAGATGCAGGTTAGAAATGCTGACTAGAGGCAGATAAGACGTATCTGCTCACTGGACCACATCAGAGATAGCAGATGCTTCAGTATGAATATGATTAATTGGAATCATGTATGTGTTATGTATTTTTTTATTTGAATAATACTGAAAAAAAGCCACTGCTGATGATTACTACTGCACTGATTCATTCGTCAATGAGCTCTGAAAGTAAACAGCGGCGAAATACTTCCTCATTAATCTTAATCCCTTCCAAATGAGTCCTTGGAGTCTTAATTAGCATGTCTCCATATTTCCATGTATCATCTGGAAGTGGCACAACATCCCCTGACCTCTCCATCCTCTCCTGCTCTCTGAACTCATATTCTCTCCCCTCCTTTATGTTTACTCTTTCCACGATGATACAGGCTGCCAACATTCCCCTGGTCTGCGAGCTCGGCATCGATAAGCTCTCCTTTGATGACTTCTCCCTGGACGTTGACGCCATGATAACGGCCGCTCTGAGGATGTTCATGGAGTTGGGGATGCTGCAGAAATTTAAGATCGACTATGAGGTGAGACCGCTGACTGTCTTCGTCTGTCTCCTTTGAATACTTGACTGAATGTACCCAGAACACGAATCCTAATGTGTCCTCGTGACAACTGCTGACCCGTGTGCTCATCCCTCTCTATCTCCGTCTTCCCCCTCCAGACACTGTGCAGATGGCTGCTGACAGTCAGAAAAAACTACAGAATGGTTCTCTATCACAACTGGAGACATGCCTTCAACGTCTGCCAGTGCATGTTTGCCATGCTAACGGTAAAGATCATCAGCTTAGTCAAAGACATTTGTGTTGAAGAATTTATAGCAGATGTTCATACACTTAAAATGATCTTAGCAGCCAGGAGGATTCTCACACACGAACATTAGATTGTAGTTAAAGACCCCATCCACTCAAAAATGTGGTTGTCTTCTGTTCATGTCCCCAAAACTGTCTGACCTTGACTATACTGTGTTGTATCTGTGCAAAGTTTGTCACTAGAGAGGTGTTATCACTAGGGCTGCCCCCCAATAGTCTTCCAAACGTTAGTTGACCAGAAAGGTCATTAGTTGACAAGATTTCATTGGTCGCTTAGTCGTAAAAAACAAATACACAAAAAGAAACCAAACAAAAGTGAAACTCTACTAGACGATGTGAAAGGACAGACACAGGAAGTGACCACGCTCAGCAGTCAGGGAGAAGTAATTTCCAGGGGTGGTACCTGCAGTTATTACAAAGGCTAGTCAATAACATGTCGCGCAGGAAATCCAAAGTGTGGGATCATTTTGAGAAGGTGAAGGACAAACCCAAGGTGATATGTAAACTCTGTAGGCAAACATTTGCCTATCATTCGTGGACTACAAACATGCCCGTTAGCCTACACATTGCTTTTTTGGAAAGTCTGCATAGTACATCGTTAAGAAGGAATTTTGAAGAGGTATGGTTGGGAAATTTGAGTGAAGGACTTTTACTAATGATAGAGTACTTTGACATTGTTGTATTGGTACTTTTATTTAAGTAAAGCATCTTAAAACTACTTCTTCCACTGGAGGTCATAAAGGGACCTGCAGCAGCAAACGCCATTAGCATGAAGGTATCAGAGTAAAAGAAGCTTCAGGTTCAAGACAGCAGGGTACACCTACATGAATATGATTGGACGTTGCTAGTCAGCTGGTTGTCGAGCCAGTGAATGTGGAGCATGAATGAAGCGGCTAATGCAAGCCAGACTTTGGCGCTTATTGAAATGTTATTAGGTTGACAGAACGTGATACGTTTCTGTTTGACTTGTGTTGAAATTCAAATTACGAGTCATTGTATTATTAACTATACAAACAGCCACTTCTGCGCAGAGCCAAACCAGAGCTGTTTGTTTGAATAGAGACCCCAAGAGAATTACTTCATCAGGTCCTTGGGACAACGCACACACACACACTTATACAAACACCAGAGTGTTGTTCATTTAATCAAGCACAGCATTAATGCCTGGTGTCCCATCTGAATTGATTATTGGCAGAGGGAGATGAAATAGTAGTGTGTAAGCTGTTCTGGGACCCTCCACTCTCCTGCCATGTGTTTTAATGAGTGGGCTGAGGGCCGTGCTATCTTTGCCGCTATCCCCACAATGACCTATAGTGACTCACTCAGCACATGGCCTCCAGAAGCCATTCATCCAAGCCATAAAGCTCCCCGTGTGACTGTGTTACTGCAGTCCCACTGGCTATCTGGGGACATACCGTTTTTTCGGATGCTGCTGCTGTGTGTTTTTCATTTTTATTCAATGTACTCACAGGTTCATAGAATAAGATATGCAGCTTTGTATCTGTGTGTTTGTTTCCTCATTGGCCTCCTCTCCCCTGTACCAATCAGACGGCAGGCTTCCAGGAGACCCTGACAGAGGTGGAGATCTTAGCGCTTATTGTGGGCTGTGTGTGCCATGATTTGGACCACAGGGGAACCAACAACGCTTTTCAGGCAAAGTAAGTGTTCCCGCTTTATCCCTCTGCCACACACACATAAACACACTCCCTCCTACACGCTGTTTATAGTGTGTTTTACCACCTGCAGCAGTCTGCGCCAGTCCGGCCCAGATCAGCAAGAGTCAAGTAGCAAGTTGTATAAGGCTTATATAAGGGTCTGCTTAATGAAGAGACTGTAAACACTGCTGACTCCGAGCACATTTAGATCAGCAGCTAAACTAATAAATTGCTTCAACTTAATGTTCTCTGCCCTCACAGAGGTTATTAGTGTAAACTGATTCCGAATCCAAGACGGAAACTAGGTGGATGACAGACATAACCGTGGGCTAAATTATAAATCTTGAAAACATGTATGCTGAACAAAATTAAACTTGTTGATCAGGTTTTTTTTTTGTGTGTGTGTATTTTTACATCTGCTCTTTCATCACATCAACGGTCAAAAATAGTTTGAGTTTGTTCGTTATTTTGAGCTGAATGTTGACCTGGCCAGTGCTGAATTACTTAAGGCTGACAAAGGACATAATGGAGCTCTTGTAACCCAGTGGTTCTCAAACCTTTTGTCATTTTATGATGGTCCATCAAGCTGTTAGAGTGAGCATGGAGCCCAGGGTCACTAACTGTGCTCCCTGAAGAAACATTTATAATTTTTTTGGGAAAGCGAAAAAGCCAGTTCAGCGAGAAGCAGACAGAGGATATATCAGCAGTGAAATCTTAAAAAGATAAAGACAGAAGCTAAAGCAGTGCAAAAGAGAACCATTACAGCACCTGCCGACAAAGACAAAAGACAGAGAACCAGTCAACCGCAGACTGTGGGAGCAAAACTGTTCCTGGAAAACAGGGTAGGTCTTAATTCACACACAAAAAGTAGCATGGTTTTACATTTAGTACACCTTCAGGGGCTAGCGTCTCATTGAAGTGCTTGACTTCGTGTCGACATAGCACGTTAAACGGCTGCTCCTTTCAACCGCCCCGGGTAGCAAGTATCACAAGTATCACTATTACATATGTTCAGGGCACAACATTTGAAAATGACTAGTTTCAAAAGCCACAATACCAGCCTAAGAATGAAGAAAATCTCAAATGATTGCATGAGAGCTGATGGAGCACATCCTGACCCTCCATCAGAAGTGGCCGATACTACAATATGATTGGCCAGTCTGTGAGAAGGGTTAGACTTAATGAAAGGTCAATTTACTGATACAGCTATTTTAGGAAGTATGCATGACTGATTTTTTTTAAATTAACAAAAAAAAAAAAAAATCACGTAACCCCTGCAGTAATCCAAACACCCACTAGGGGCACACATACCCTATTTGTGAAACACTGTCATTGCTTATAAAGCAGCAATCTTAAAGCGTATCTTTATTATCTTAAAATCAACACCGTTACCACAAACAGCACAGTCATAATATATCAGGACAGTGACACATTTTTGTTGCTGCTTGTACCAAAGAGTAGTGTGACAGTCAAGAGTGCTCACTCCACGGCAAAATCTAGGGACCAAAGCGTCTCTTGAGGTACACTGCACAGCAGACTGACTAGCCAAACAAAAGACAGAAAAAAAACAACCGTGCTGGACTTGAAGCTATCTCAGTCAATTGAGATGCCTCCGACTGCCGATTCGAATCTCCAGTTGTCAAGGGACAGCTCTAATCTTTACATAGCAAATAGTTGTTTGGTGCTATATTAAAGGGGATGTTTTTGTGTCCAGGTGACTTGTGGGAACAATCACTTTTGAAACTGGTCCGATTTGAGTGATAAAAGGGATACTGAGTGAAAGGGCTGCTGCCGGCACCTACAATGTAACCACCTGGGAAGGGTGCACCCCGTAAATTTACATCCATTAAATTTGCTTGTTTTTGCCACTGATAGGCTCAGATTGTTACAATGCTCTCTGCAACTCTCACTTAAGTTTCTTCCATTTTCTTCCTGCAACAAGTCACTTCTCGAGGTTTTAGAGCGAGACTTTGACACAAAACAGCCTGGAACAAGCGACAGATTGTTCTGTAGGGTACTTTCCATAATGTTGTAATACAGTCATAGTAATCTGAGCCTGTCAGTGACAAAAACAAGCACTGTTAATGGATGTTGTAGCCTGTCTTGCTGCTGCTGGCTGCAGCGTTCTCTCTTAATATTGGATGAATTTCAAACATGATTGTTCCCAGTTGTCACTTAAACACAAAAACAGGGGAAAATAGAGTCCAGGTTGAAAAATAAAGTTCCCTTATAATGTTCTGAATGTTGTACACAGCACCTTTAAAGCACATGAAAAAAATTGTTAACATAAGCTTGAAAATGAAGTCATTATATTTACTAATTGGGGTCAAATCCTTTGTGATCAATGGCTATTTAAAGTCACATCTCTATCATCACACATCGCTATTCTGTCAGACCTGTACTGCAGCTGTTTTCACTTCCTCATTGTTTTAGGAGTTGTTTGCCTTCAGGCCACCTCTTTATTTAAGATTCATTAATTGTATGTTTTTATGAAGAGAGCATGTAGTGATATGCTCACCCAACATGAGATGTGAACAACCTCCACAGCTAAAAGTCAGCTCTTATAGCTCACAGCCATTCTTTCATTTCAAATCCAATGTGCTGCAGGACAGAGTCAACACAATGAAAAATATATTACTGTCCTCATACTTTCTGACTCCACAGTAATACCAAAACTGGAACGGAAACTAGATCAAAACTAAACAAAAACTTTGTAAAGCTCAGACAATTTTCACTGTGGAAATGACAGACTGAAAACTAACTCATGTAAAACTTTAAAATAATCCTGGCCCACATGCCTCACCTTCACTACACCATGCTCAGCGAGCGTCTCATGAGTATTTTTTCTCCACATTAAATAATGATCATATTCAGTGTTGAACAGTTGAATTTCAGCTGCAGTTTAGGTTATGGCGCTCCTGCTTCTTTTATTATTGAGCCATAAGTTGGCGACAGAGCGCAAAGAGGGAATTACAACAGACTCAACAGCAGACTTTGTCTCTCAGTATGTGTTGAATGCTGATTATGTTATCAACCTCATCTTGATCCCTGTGTGTGTTTGTGTGTGCTTTTTGTGCATGTGTGTCTCAGGACGGGCTCAGCCCTTGCTCTGCTTTATGGGACCTCTGCTACGCTGGAGCACCACCACTTCAACCACGCCGTTATGATCCTGCAGAGCGAGGTGCACTATGTTCCAATATCTGCTGCAATGCAGTTACCATGAAGGTTCTGCTAATGAGTACTGCTGCATGTGATCATTTTTTATTGGAACTTACAGTTAAGCATTTAAGGATGGTGTTGTGGACTCAATTCACAGAGGAGAGCTGCATGTTGTGAAACACATTCAATTGCATATCTGGCTATTTCAGATACTGCCTATTCCTGGATGATGAGAGTCTTGGGGACATTTAAGAGCACCACAAACTGCAGCCACCCAGATGACATGACACTTTATTTTACATCTCTTTAAACAATTCAAACAAACACTTCACATTAAAACCTTTATGAAGGGAGAATTTATTGTAGGACTGCTGTAAAGACTGCATTAGTGTTAGCTCGGTGTAGCTAATAAATGAGCAACTGACTTTAGCACTAGCAGTGTGTGAACAAGCGACATGGTGCTTCTTTTCGCGGCAGATATTTGTGACTCATCATAGCAGGAAAAGCACAGCTGAACAGAATAGTTCAATATAATTTGTTTTCTTTGCCGAGAGTTCAACGAGAAGATTGGTACCACTCTCATGTCCGTGCACTGCATATGACGCTGCAGGCAGCAGACAATTAGCTTAGCTTAAGGACTGGAAACGGGGGGAAATAGCTATGCTGGCTCCATGAAAGTGTCAACAATTTAGATTATAGGTACACTAGGTTTCAGTATTCATTTTCTGCAGTGTTCGCACACTGGTACCAGAGGCGCCTTCTTGCTCTCTCTCATTATTAAAGGGACTCTATGTAAAATTTAGAGCATATAAGGCGGCTGAGCAAGCGGTTAGCAGCTTATGTTGCTAACTCTATAGCTAAAAGACAGCAACAGTGCTGACAGAGCTAACAATGTTAAACAGGCGGAACTAAAGGGAGAGTGCTACGCTTCCGCAGTGCATCCATCCATCCATCCATCCATCCATCCATCCATTTTCATCCACTTATCCGGGGCCAGGTCGCGGGGGCAGCAGGCCAAGCAAAGCACCCCAGACGTCCCTCTCCCCAGCAACGCTTTCCAGCTCCTCCTGGGGGACCCCAAGGCTTTCCCAGGTCAGATGAGATATGTAATCCCTCCAGTGTGTTCTGGGTCTGCCCTGGGACCTCCTACCAGTGGGATGTGCCCGGGACACCTCCAGCGGCCAGGAGGTATCCTATTCAGATGCCCGAACCACCTCAACTGATTCCGCAATGCAACCGTCCAGATATTAGTGGTAACCGCTGCGTGAGAGTAGTGCAAAGCTGCGGCGATGGGCTAGCCAGTGAAATACACACATTGTATCAACCTACATGTATGTTTCTATTTATTGTGCAACCGGTGGAATAAGAGTCTGTCAACAGTTGCTTTAGTAGCATACGTGTGATGCCGATGAAGTAATTTCAGCACATTGCGACATCTTCATACAAGCAAATCTGGAGATATTCAGTGAAGTATCCAGGCTTCTTTACTTCCCTTCGCCCCTTCCTTACGACCACTCCTTATTAAACTCAAATGCTGTTTGTGGAAATATGTTGTGCTTTGGTTCAATAAGTTTGTTACAATGATCCCTAATGTAGGCTATTTAACAGTTAATGTAATTAATGGTTCAGAACACCTGTAAAGTGGAGTGATACATGCAGAGTTAAAAGTCCCAACGATTTTATACTCTATATCAGCATTCATGGAATGCCTTACTGTCGAATCAAACTGCTTGGTCAGGACTAACCATTGTATAAATATATGTATTAGCATTGATAACGTGTCCCACATTGTCCCACACCAAAACACTCTTTGCCCTACATTTGGTTGGTTGGGATCTGGTCACCCTAATTGAAGTTAGAAATTCCAGTATCATGACAACACTGCTCTGTCCAATGGTAAAACAAAAATCTGACAACCAGTTACTCTGAAGGTCACTGATTAACAAGTCATGTCTGGTTTGTTTCATCTGTACAAAAAGGTAATCCACATGCTTTGCTTTTTTAAACGGGTGGTTATGTGCTGCACAGTTTCTTATCTGGGCACCGTGACTTCCTTGAGGCTTGTCATCACCATGAGGTTGGCAGCAGACCAGAACAGAGCCAGGCTAGCTGTCTCCGCTTGTTTCCAGTCTCACAGTGTACTGCTGGTGGTAGATTCATATTTAACAGACAGATATGAGAGCAGTGTTGATCTTCACATCTAACTCCCAGCAAGAAAGCAAACAAGCAAATAAATTTATTTTCCCTACGTGTCGAAATATTCCGTTGAAGAATTTGTACGTATATTGAACCATGACAATACACCTGACTGGGTCAAATGGATACAGTCACGCTGCTGTTTCTTACCTACTATATATTTCTGTCTTTACTTTTTAGACAACTAAATGAATAAAAAAATGAAGGGAGTTTGCGCCACTGCGCCTCAAGGTAACCATGTGGAGCCTCGATGACTGCTGTATGTGAGCGAGTAAACAAATAGCTCATGCTGCCCTCAAATCAATGTAATTACAGAGGCGATAGATTTGGTGGTAATTGGTTGAGAGAGACATTTTACCAGGTGACTGGGTTTGCATGAAGTTGTAATTAAAGGCGTTTTGAGGGAGCAGCTGAGACGAGGCTTAGCAGGGTTTGTTCCAGTGGCTTCATTATCGCGGCGCTGACAACACAGTAAGCTGACAAATGTTTGCTTGGAGTATCATAATGGTTTCTGTTGATACTGGGGTTGAACTACCGCTGTCCTATTAGCATATAAATGAATAATGTGGCTAATTCAAGTGGAAAGCTTCACGATTCAGTCTGCCAGCCCGCACGAACCATTTATTTAAAACTTCTAAAAACGTCACTCACTCCCTCTGTATCTCTCAATTTTCATCTCGTCATTCTCACTTCCTGTTTTACCCGCCTCTGTCCTTCATACGCTCCAGTTGTGAGACCTGCTTTGTGTCTCCGCTGGTTCAATATTTTATTGGAACACATGAGCTCATGGAGGGGAATCACAGGCACGTAACACTTCTTCTTTTAGCATTTAAAAGGAGAAAACAAAGTGGTCGTTTAGTTCTGAAGATCTCTGCTAATTTCTGCAGGTTGTTATCATCCCTTCATTCTGCTCCTTGTCTGTTGTCACCTCTACATCTTCTGTTTTCTCCACCGACGGATCTCTCCGTCCTCTAGAGGCGGGTGCCTAAGTGGTGAATGAATGTATAATACATGATGGGGAGAGGCCTGTTTTAATGATAGAGAGCCTCAAGTGAGGGATGTTGCTTACTTATTAAGAGCTGCTGGCTTCCCTCCTCCCCTGCACAGATCCATTCAGTTTTATTATTGAGCAGGGTTTTTTTTTCACCATCATGGGTTAGTTATGCAAATCGGCCTTTTTCAGTAAGGACTCCTTCACCGGGGAAAGACTTCCTTTTCCGTGTACTGGGATTTTGGGAAATCTCTATAAACTGATATTTGCATATGAATGCAGAAAAATAACGAATACAAGGCGAAATTGTCGTCAGATGATAGCCAATGGATTCTGTGAATGCATTTCAGCCAGTGCATTCCGTCTCTTTTGCTCTCCACATGGACCGATTATCTGCCCCTTCAACATGATTGATTAATACTACTCAGACTACAAACAGAAACCAGAACGCTTCCAATACCATGATCGAATGCTGCATTCACATGCTCCTCAGATTGTCCTATTTCCAGAGTTGGGAAGTCGTTGTTTCAACTTTGATGTGTTCAGGAGCTTTAAGTTGTAATGCTTTTGACATTACAGATGCTACAAATATGGGTTGTATTTTGTTGTTCAGAGCATTTACAAAAGACGCTGATAGTAGTTTGAAGCTTTATATTACAAAGTGATTTTGCCCCAGACTTGTTGCTGCACCAGTACATCTCCTAAAACCACTATACTACTGCTTCACCTCATTTTCATTGTCTGTAACCGCTTATCTTGTTGGGGGTCACAGTGGGGGGCTGGAGCCTATCCCAGCTGGCATTGGGCGAGAGGCAGGGTACACCCTAGACAGGCCGTTAGACTATCACAAGGCTGACACATAGAGACAGACAACCATTCATGCTCACATTTATATCACCAATTAACCTATATCTTTGGACTGTGGGGGGGGGGGGGGGAGCCGGAGTATCCAGAGAAAACCCACGCAGACGCGGGACGAAAATGCAAATAGAAGGGTTCTCCACCCCGCGTTCAAACCAGGAACCCTCTTGCTGTGAGGCTACAATGATAACCACTGCACCACCATGCCACTATTGCTTTATTGCTTTACCATGACGAATGCTTATAAATGACTTTTCTAACTAATGTAGGTCACTCTATGTGGACAGCAACTACTGGCCACAGCCTCAAACTATATTACAAATTACATAAGCAAAACATTGACATGCAATATGTGAATTCATTATTATTATTTTTTTTACATTTGTCCGCTCTGCCATGTTTCTCCATATATGACATCAACTCATGCACCAGAGTTTTCACTGACTTCCAGACTTGCCCTTGATTTGAGGGAGCATATATGCAAATTCTCTCAGTCGGGGACTCATTTTTCCGATTATTTAGACACCACATGAACGCAGAGTTGTACCATTGCCTGCAGATTCTGAATCCATATACAGTTATCTGTGACACATTGTATTGTGGGACTGCTGACAAAATGTAGTGCAAATGCCACGTGGAATCTTAAGGGCATATATGTAATGTTCAGAATTTGTACACTTTAATTAAATGGCGGAGAGTAAATTTTGTGCACTATACTGTCTGGTATATATCCTCATCCAATGATCTGTATCAGCTAGTATTATCAGGGGTCTAATTTAACAGTCAAGCTGTTATTAATAATTTAAAAAGTCTCTTAAATAAACCCACGTAAGTAATATGGGCCCTCTGTTAAGTAAATGCTCCCCATCCTAAACATAACGAATAATTCATCCAGGGACTAGTTTTTCTTTATCTGAAGCTCTTTGTGTGAAGTTAGAAATTGTGTTTAGAAATTCTTTATCATGTTATTTCTGTATGTGTCTCCACAGGGTCACAATATCTTCTCCAACCTCTCGTCCACAGAGTACAGTGACCTCATGCAGCTGTTGAAACAGTCGATTCTGGCCACAGACCTCACACTTTACTTTGAGTATGTTCTGCTAAACACCGTGCAGCTTATTAAACTGTTAAATCTCCTGATGTCCACTGAGCTAGGCCAACTCCAGTGTACTAACTCAGTTACCGTGAAGCACATTGAGTCTGTCTCTGCACACTGTTAACAAGTTTCTTTTAGGGAATACCGCCCCCTTGTGGATTTTATGTCACTTACAGTTATATATGTGGCTGTCTTGTTTCCCTTTAGGAACAGAAACACTTTCTTTGAGCTGGTCAGCAAAGGAGAGTACAACTGGAATGTGAAGGGTCACAGGGACATGTGCAGGTAACGCACTGTGCACACAAAGATAGTGTTCCTAAATCTTTGATCTTGTAAATACTACATGAAATAAATCTTGTCTGATTCCTCTCAGATCCATGATGATGACAGCGTGTGATCTTGGTGCTGTCACTAAACCTTGGGAAATATCACGCAAGGTAAGAAACACTCTCACATATGACATGAATGTATTTCTTAACCATTCATCTAGAACTGAAACAATCGGTTGATTAATTAATAGATGGTCAAAGGAAAAATATTAACTATTTTGATAACTGATTCATTGTTTAATTCCTTTTTTTAAGCTAAATTACCAAACATTCCCAAGTTAGAGGGTTCCTACACAGTTTGGAAACACATGGAATTCCATTTTAGTAATTTCCAGGTCTAGATAAATATGGAAAAATACTTGTGTTTCCACACTGTTGCTCCTACTCTGTTCTCTTAAATATAAAATTCAGAATTTCTAAAAATAAACTGATCAAGCAGAGTTTTGTTCATGGTATTTTGAGCAGGCAGTCAGTGCAGCCAAACTGTTTACCACTGTGTGAGAGAGTGCGAGCCAGAGTGAGCTTGATGTCATCAAACGCAAGGCAAGAAGCATGGTGACTGAACGCACACTCCTACGCATTTGAATAGCATATATACTGTATACAGTATCACAAATAACAAAGTATTAAGCTTGTCTGAACATGAACGTGCTGCTGTTGTTGGTGCTATTATAGTTTTCTGTTTATTTGTCTGACAATGGCTGTACAGTACACAATGACTTTCTGAAAGGACTTCTATCTATCTATCTATCTATCTATCTATCTATCTATCTATCTATCTATCTGTCTACCTACCTACCTACCTGTCTACCTATCTATCCATCTACCTGCCTATATATCCATCTACCTACCTACCTATCTATCTATCTATCTATCTATCTATCTATCTATCTAGAGTTACGCAGTGATGACAAGACTTTCCTTTACGGCTGCCTTCATCATCATTGGTTCCATGGACACAGTGAATAAACAAAGCTGCACAGATGCTGTGAAAATTAAATAATTCAGTTCTCATTTTAAATTAGAAGTAGAACCTCAATTTTAATAAGAAGTAAAGGTAGGACTAGCTAGTTTACTTTCTCTTTGGGCAGGGATGTTTGACAGTGGAAAGTCATTTTCCAAGTTTTCCAAGGGCTGGCAATTTGTACTTAGATGTCAGATATGGTCTGAAAAATGTACCAAGAAGCCTGGAATTTTGAGTTTGGAAAAACATTGAAAATGTGTAGAAATGTGTAAAGTCAAAGCTTCTAAATTCTAAAGGATCTGCTGTTCTTCTTTGTCTTCTCTGTGTTGGTTGGGCAAATCAAGAAATTTGATACCATCATCTTGGGTTTTAGGAAATTGTGGCAGGCCCAATTTTCACAGTTTTTAATAAATCATTAGTTGAGAAAATAACTGGCAGATGAATCAATAATGAAAATACTTATTGGCTGTAGCTCTACATCTCTGCATCTTTTCTCTCCAGGTTGCAGAGTTGGTGACCAGCGAGTTCTTCGAGCAGGGCGACAGAGAAAGATCAGAGCTGAAGCTCACGCCCTCTGTGAGTACATCCAACCGTCTCTGTGGTTGTTTTTGCTTTCTGCAGTTTGTTTTCACCTCCGTGACCTCCACCGAGCTGATGACGCCAGAGATATATTTTCTCTGCAGTTCCAAAACACACTGACTGCGTAGGAAACATGAGAGCTCGTGTCTCGTAGTGTGAGAAAAGTGAATTGTCAGCTTGACCGCTCCGCTGCCTCGCTGCTGCGCCAGGAGCAAACTGTGGACCGCGTAACAATCATTCTTAAAAAAGAAAAAAAAAAACTCCTACACAGGATTCAAAGCAAACACTGACCCTTCCATTCATGCAGTGGTAAACACACAAGGCATTTGGGTTTTTGGAGCTCTACAAGCTTTGACTTGCTGATAGCTGAGGTAATAAACTGTTTTTTATTTTTGTAATCTCATATAGAGGTAAAAATAGCACTGTAATAATAGCAGGGAAAGACTCTGGTCCTAATGAAGATTCATAACGCATTCAGACAGTCCTCAAAGCTGCAACACCACAACAGAGGAGTACTGCGTGTGTTTGATTGAGGAGCTTTGAAGGCTGAACTGTGTTGCAAGTTCTTAAAGGGGAAATAACCAACAGCTTTCTGTGCACCATTAATGGCTGTTGACTAATCGAGCCAGGCCACATTGCCTCCCCTCTGAAATAACTAATGCGGTAGCCTCAGGTCTGCCGCTTGTGTCAAACCTTTACCGCTCTGTGTGCGTGGGTGTTGGAAATTAAATATTAACTTCTAAGTCGTAGCCCAGTAACTATCTCTGAAGCACAGCCTCGGTGGAGCCTCTTAAGTTCAGGCTGCAGAAGAATGAGGTAGAATAGGAAATGTACGGGAAATAAAGTCAGTTGTCTCCAGAGCCGAGGGAGACTTTTCTTAGCAACAGCAGCACTTTAGGGACTGTGAGCCTGAATCACATTGCTCCTGTGTTTCTCCAGCCACAAACGTAGGTGTAAATAAATTCTGACTTTTCTGTTTCAGGCCATCTTTGATCGAAACAGGAAGGACGAGCTGCCGGGGCTCCAGCTGGAGTGGATTGATGGAATCTGCGCGCCACTGTACGAGGTAACGCACAAAGTTTCGCCGCTCTCTGGCCTTCATTGTGTCACGCTTGTCACACACAGACATCCGCCTCTGACATCAGTAGTCGCTGTCCTTCCTCAGCCATTGTCCCCCCTTCACTGACGCCAGTAATCAAGCTTTCACCGACAACTATTCAACTTTTTCTTTGCAGCCACAGATTTCTTACCGCAAAAGAAATGCTTTTTTTTTTTTTTCTTATTGAAAGCTCTGAAACAACTTCAAGGTCGTATCCTGTTCTTTTGAGAACAGCAGAATGAGTGTGCACTTTCTGACTGCGAGACAGCTCAGAGGAAGTGGAGTGTGTGAGCTGTGATGCTAGTCGGGTTAAATCCCCCTCAGTAACACAGTGTACTCTGGGCTTTGCTGCACAGTAATGAAATAAGGATGGTATCTTTCTTCTGAGACGTTTTGGCTCACACACAGATACAGAGGCAGACTTTTATTGAGGAATCCCAGCCGAGCAAACGCTGGGGTCAGAGTTAGAGCTAGTGGTAATCTTTCAGGGAATTAATGGAAATCTATACTGTGTCCTCGCCAGTATAGTAATGTGTGTGTGCGTGTGTTTCTAAATGACGTCAAGAGAGACTCACCTGCCCCTCCCACTGCCGGCAGCAGCTGCTGTGTGGGAGAAAAACGCAGGCTGACTTACTGAAGAGATCAGGTCTGTTAAGAGATGAGGCGTGCTGAAGATAAATTCATGAAAGCAAACAGTTGTGAAGGGAGTCAAGGATAAAACAGTTAATTCAGTCTTACAGCACTGGGTGATTTTCTCTGCTTTTGTTCTGTTAACCCTCCTTTCCTTTTTACTGTCATATTAAACACATTACTCTTAGTCATCACGAGTAGAAAACAAACAGTAGATCATCTTCGCATCTATTGAATTATCCCAGGATCAGTGTCAAAAGTTAGATCAGGCTTATCTGCGCGGGGCTCTGGTGCCACCATTGTTACAGTCTGTGTAGTGCAGATAAAAAGCATCAAAGCGCTGTGTGTTGTCTGCGTGGGGGGTTCGTCTCCACGCCGCCTCATGTAAAAGGCTGATGTTTGGAGAATGCAGATATGAAGCTCACGATCATGCTGCTGCCAATTAAACTTGCGAGGGGGAGAACAGAGGAAGTTCAGAGGCGGCAGGGTTTTTTGTCCGTGGGCGGAAGAGATCTCGTTCTTGATCTCGCTGATCTCCTTCTCCTGGTTGTGGCTCGCTACTTTGTGGAATATTAATCCCCCATTTTATAACCTTCCGTCTTTATACCCCACCATATGACAGGCTCTCTCTTCTTCTTCTCCTTCCCAGTCTACCTCAGTGGAATAATGATGCTGCGGGAACAAATGACAGAGTCCTTATGTGGATATATTTTGTGGAGAGAAGGACGTTTTTCAGGGTTACTGCAGATCTTAAAAAAGTCTTAAAAGTCCTTGAATCCATTTAACTAAAAATAAGCCCTTGATAGGTATTACAATGTCTTAAATCAGTCTTTCAGAAAAAAAGTCCTAAAAATGCTAAGATATGAAAAGTAGAATTTTATGAACAGTCTTTCTTGACGTTGCATTTTAAAATCTCAGAATAATAACTACAACTATAATTTACGGAGTGCCCCTGACATTAACGTCACACAGATCAGGATAGTGGAACCAGCAACACTCAAAATGTGTTTCCAGCCCAGATACTCCAAGCAGAGGATCCTCTGTCTGCTAGTTAGCTGTCACCGTACCCTGGACGATATAGGGAAGTGCAAATTCAACCAAAATTGGCTATTTAACCCAGACTTTGCAGCATGGCTAAAAACAGTGCAGGCAAATGCACAATGCTCAGTGTATTTCATTCAAGTTGTTTTTCAAACTAAAGAAAACTCGCCAACAAACTTCAGGTATTTCCCAGTTCTGTTCTACCCTCGTCTCCGCCGTGAAACAAAAAAAGTAATGTGTATGTTACATTAAACATTTGGGCAAAGTTGTCCCCAACTCTATGTAACTAATGTTGGTTCATGTTTGTTAGAGCCATTTCTAGCAAGTCCTAGTTCCCTATTATTTTTTGAGTCACTTTAATGCACCACCTGACCTGGCATCTCGGGAACCATTAGGGCCGTTTCATATTCAACGCAAAGGCACACAGACACGAATGCATTGGGACGCATAGAGACGCAATGGCAGCCATGATGCGTGCTTGCATCTCAAAATGTGTTGTCCATTTTTTTGATATGCGACGCAGCAACGCGTGTAATACCATGCGTTGCCAGCAGGGGTGATAATGCAAGCGACGTACTTGAAATTAACCACTTTTGTTATTCACAGAAGAAGCCGGTATGAAATATGGCGGGCGAGGAGGAAAAACTTATCGTACGGGCACACCCTATTTATATGACAGTTCTAGTGCCCTGCACTCTAATAAAATAGTAGTACTAGCTAACTAGCCGGAATATACCGGTGACTCTGCTGCCCCCTGTTGCGCGAGCAATGTATTGCATTTCAAGTGTCGCCTGCATCGCTTGCGTTCAGTGTGTTGACTATGAAAGGAAGTGCGTTGTGTGCGTCGACTATGACACGGCCCTTAATTAAAGGCATGTGTGCTAAAGTGTGTGTGGAGCATGGAAGACGCCACGGGGTTACAGTCTTCAACCGCCGTATGTTTGGTTAATCTTAGTTTTTATAGTTTGATGAAGTCTTGAATACCTCATTGATTTGAGCTTTGTTTTTGTAAAGGCCTGTTTATTTGGGGAATGTTTGTTTAGGGATTTTTGTTTTCTTTTTTTTTTTTATGTGGCAACGGAAAATCCAGTTCATAGCGTCATGTTGCAACTCTCCGTACATCCGGCAAATCAGTCAACGCTAAAACAAAATCAACCAGTAATTAAAACTAAACCAAAACAGTGAGTTCATCATATCTCCCATTATGGCGTCTGTGGGCAGCTATTTTTGAACTTATTTGGAAGTCGCAATAATGTTTATTTTTCTTCCATTTTGGCTGTTGTAGAAATTGGTCTAAAATTTTAGTCTGAGTAGCATTAAAAAAGTCTTAAAAAGTATGAACTCCAACCTGTGTTAAAGGTCCAGTGTGTAGGATTCAGGGGCATCTACTGGCAGAGGCAGTACACAATATTCATAACTAAGTTTTCAGTTTTTGATCTCTTGAAAAAAATGGATTGTCGTGTTTTCGTTAGCTTTGAATTAGCCATTCATATCAACATACGGAGCGGGTCCTCTTCCATGGATTCTGCCAGTTTGTTCTACAGTTGCCCAAAATGAATAAATCATTTGTGCCTTTGCGTTTCTGTGTCGGCCACTGTAGTTTTCATACACGCTTACCATATGGGAGAGGTTTTAGTTCTGTAACTTCACCGCTAGATGCCACTGTATCCTACACACTGGACCTTTAAACCACTTGTACCCAACTGGTTCGGCCAAGGTCCACACAGTCTAATATATTCTGCTTCATACTTGCCTTTGGCCATGTCTTTGAGCTATTTTGCTGTCTCTGTCAAGTGGCTGTATGTTACGCCGGATTTCCACTGGATGAGTGTCCGTTGCGGAACGGCAGCGCTGGTTATCCGCTGCGTGCTCCGCCGTCCATCAATACCCACCGGCTGCGTTTGCTGTGCGGAGAGGTGCAGCTCCGCCGGAAGACATCTCGGTGCACTGCCATGATTAATATCTCCTCGTCCATGGTGTTAACGGGGTGAAATGACGTCTGAAACCCTCTGACCTGTTGACTTCAGGCCTGCCTCTGCCCATTATGTAGTTTTCAAGGTGTAGTGCAGGGAAATATGATCCGCCGTGAACACTGTGTATTTTGTTTTGAAAATTAACTGGATGTTTTATTGTGTTTCTGTGCACCACTTCCTGCCCCGCACAATCTGCTCTGTGCTGAATTGCTGCGTTGTGCTCCGGCGCCCGGCAAAAATAGAAGTCCTGTGTATCTGTTGCGGAGGGCTCCGGAGTGCCGGAGCTGTGACAGAGCCGGAATGCAGCACAGCCGCAGCCGGTGGAAACATACACATTGACTAGAATTGAATCCTATCGGCTCCACTGCCATGCCGGAGCGGAGATGCAACCAAATAGGAAATAGGCCGTTAGTCACTCACTCTACAGCAGGAAACGACACCTAAAAAACACAGCTCTATGCCGGAAATTCACTGTACTTAAAGATAAAGTGCATCTTTTACTTGACACATCTCTGATCAGAATGGATCCACAACCCCCCCTTTGGACCCCGACCCACCAGTTGGGAACCACTGCTTTAAACTGCAGGAGCCTTGTTTTAGTTTTCCTTAATGATCTTCTTTTAATTCGCAAACGAGACAAATCCATGATGTCATCAACTCTTTTTGTAGTTCTTGAAAATCATAGCTACATGACGACCACATTTTCATTAACAGTTAATCTGCAGATAATTTTCTCAATTAATCATTCAGATTTATCAGGTTTATCTAACCAGAGAGGGGCCTCGCTGAGATAAAAAGTCTCTTTCACAGGAGCTGTGGGAGCCAAATTCCTCATTTCAGATGAAAATTGTATCTTTATTGCCCCATTAGACATTCAGTTTATTAACTTCTTTGTGCTTTGGGTTTAGTAAATGGGTTTATTATATTTCATTACTGAATCCAATATGGAGCCTTGCCTAGGGCTACTCCCCTTTACAACTCCTATATGAGGGCAGAACGCAGGTAAGCCCCAGGGTGAGCGGTAACATACAGTTATTGATCACACCTAATTGTCAGTTTATCAGCTTATTTTACAGAACCCCTTTGTTTCTAGTTACAACGAGTTATTGGGGTTGTTGTAGCAAAATATATTTTGCTTACAAATTAAATGTTTCTCATACATACTATACTGTATCGCTTTGGTCTCTCTTTGGACTGTTCGGTCTATAGGATTGCCTAGACAGGGGTGTTCCGGTTACATAAAACATAGAGTGACAAACATGTAACACAGACTTAAAATTTAAAAGGGAAAATATTATATTTGCTCTTACTGAATTGTTAAATTACATAATTTGTGTTGCGACTGCCCTCTCTGAGGTAAAAATCAGAAATTAAGAATCCAACCAGATTAACCACCTTGAGTGCTTCTGCCAACCACTCAAGTTGCAGTTTACATCTGTCTGTCCAGACTCATGAGGCCATGAAAATAGACAATGCTTCAAATATGGATGTTGCTGCAAAAAAGCTACAGATTTTAAAACATGGATGCTTCACACACATCTTTCCCCTGGCAGCACAGACGGTCTATATAATCAGCAGTTTTAAAATGGGCACCCAAGTCATCAATTAAGTATCTGACCTAATGGCCAGAAAAGTGTTTTCGCAGAACATTATGAAGTCAGCATGAGGCTGACCTTTGACCTTTTGGATATAAAATGTCATCACTTTAACTGTGACGTTTTGTCAGAATTCTCAACTTTTAACCACCAATATCTAAATCAGATCATCCTTGAGTCCAAGTGGACATTTGTGCTAAATATGGCGAAATTCCTTCCAGGCATTTTTGAGATATCATGTTTAATGATAATGAGATGGACCAACAGACAGCCTGAAAACATAACTCTGTCAGCCACGGCCGTGGCCAGTGAAGAGGCACAGTAACAAAACACACAAGTACAGCAGTAGATCACACTATTTATAACGTTAATACTATTCATACTGTATACACTCACTGGCCATTTCATTAGGTACACCTTGTGGTTGGACCCCTTTTGCCCTCAGAATTGCCTTAATTATTCGGGGTGTTGGTGTTGGTCCATATTGATGGATAATGACATGATGACATCACACAGTTGCTGCAGATTTGTTGGCTGCACGTCTATGATGTGAATCTCCCGTCCCACCACATCCCAAAGGTGCTCTATTGGATTGAGATCTGGTGACTGTGGAGGCCATTGGAGTACAGTGAACTCATTGTCATGTTCAAGAAACCAGTTTGAGATGATTTGAGCTTTGTGACATGGTGCGTTATCCTGCTGGAAGTAGGCATCAGAAGATGGGTACACTGTGGTCATAAAGGGATGGACATCGGGGCGTCAGTGGCTTAGTGGATAGAGCAGGTGCCCCATGTACAAGGCTGTTGCCGCAGCGGCCCGGGTTAGAGTCCAGCCTGTGGCCCTTTGGTGCATGTCATCCCCTCTCTCTCCCCCTTTCACACCTGGCTGTCCTGTCCTTTAAAGGCAAAATGCCCAAAAAACATATCTTAAAAAAAGGGGGGGGATGGACACGGTCAGCAACAATACTCAGGTAGGCTGTGGTGTTTAAATCATGCTCAGTTGGTACTAAGGGGCCCAAAGTGTGCCAAGAAAATATCCCCCACACCATTACACCACCACCAACAGCCTGAACAGTTGATACAAGGCAGGATGGATCCATGCTTTCATGTTGTTTACACCAAATTCTGACCCTACCATCTGAATGTCGCAGCAGAAATCCAGACTCATCAGACCAGGCAACGTTTGTCCAATCTTCTATATTGTCCAGTTTTGGTGAGCCTGTGTGAATTGTAGCCTCAGTCTTCTGTTCTTAGATACTAAACTGCATTTCGATTTCTCAGTAGCTGTAATATGTGCAATGACAATAAAGTTGAATCTGATCTAATCTAAAAGAAAATACCACAACAAATGTCAAAGAATTGTGAAAAATCTTAATTTCCTAAAGCCCAAGATGATGTCTTCAAATGGCTTGTTTTGTACGATCAACAGTCCACCCTAAAATAACCTATTCATAATCACAAGACAAAAAAGCAGCGAATCCTCCCATTTCAGAAGTTGGAACCAGTTAATGTAAACCTTATTATCCAATCACCAGCTAATTGTTTCGGCTCTACATTACCATACAGGATTACACAGACTATAAAACCAGATGTGTGCAAAAACACAGTCAGAGTCAGGCTTCAACCTCATCTCAAATCCCAGGAATGGAAATCCATATCATGCTCTGCTGCTGCTCTGCACCACAGGGTAACAAAAACTCCAACAATTACAATATTATGAATTATTGAGTCAGTTTTTAAAACACCTTTCAGCACACATTATGAATTCTTAATGAGCAAATGTGGGCTTGTTTTAACAAAGAAAATAGTCTTGATGTCTTATCCACATTATAGAGCTTTGTTCTGGTCGACCGCCCACACAAGTGTTTTAATTGTTCATATGAACCAGTCAGTACACCCTCTGAATATAAATGCATTTAAATTTCAGTTAATTGGCAGCTGTGATTAGTTGTGTTTTCTACAAATGTAACAACACATTTGATTTCCCTTTCACAGGTACAATACACAATCCCCAGTGTGGGTGTACTTACCTATTTATTTAATTCATTTTCACAGTGGCTGGCTATTTCTTCTTATATATGTGTGAATAATGTTTTGGTATGGGGGAGTCATGCCCACATGTTATATTTCCACATGAAACGGGGTTAATGAAACAACAACTAATTACAGACTTCCTGGAAATCCAATAGACACAATGTGAGGAGAACAGAGGGGACAAATTCCCCCCGTCTCTCAGGTAATTTATTAAAATGGTGGATGACAGCTTTGACTGTGCTGCTTTTTACAGTTCAACACAGACAAATGACAAAGGAGACTTATCTCAGTCATACACGTGGGTCTAATCTCTAAAGAGCAGTCGTTTCATTAGCTACTGTATGTTGCTTTCATTGTACTGTAGCGGCGGGTTCTCTGTATTGTTTCATTTGTTTTGTAGTGTGTTGGGTGAATAATGTGCTGCTTTTCTAGTCTGTTCCTGCTCTATATTATCATAGCATCTCGTCACAGAGCTATAGCATTTGATTTTCTGAAAAGTAAATGCCTGCCAATATTTGAAAAATGCGGAAGGTTATTTGGAAAGAGCTCTATATGGCATTCAGAGCATATAGCATATCTATTGTCTGCCCATGGTTTTCAACATGGAGGTGGCTGAGCCGGTGGCTAGCAGATAACGGTGCTAATGTTGAAAAAAGACTCTTTATGACACGGGGTCAATCTTGCAGCCTTTGCGGGATATTTTATTGAAGACACAATGTACAGCTTCAAACACTGCAACAATGAGAAGCCCCGAAGAGCAGTTCTCCAAAGATTCTTATAATCCTCCTCAGATGAACATCATACCTAGCTTTCCATGTTTGTGTGGGTGTGATTTCCTGCCATCTCCAGAACTTGCGCTTATCTTCATCTTAATACTTGGCGTTCTTCCACACTTTGTTCTGCCAACGACATCTAATTCCCCATCACAATGTTTCTCCACCACAATGTTTGCCAGGTCACTCTGCTCTAAGACTTCTTCCCAGAGTGAGACCATCATGGGTTGCTCAAGGGTCAGGTATTTCTACTGTAGGCCTTTTCACCACCACACTAACAGTGCTAACAGTGACAACAGAACTAACAGTGGTCTGTGCCATTATTAGTGGCAACCACCACATGTGCCGCCATTGGAGAAGGGTCATGCCGCACCTCATTGCCATCCCTTATCCTCAAAATCCACCTCCTCCTCCTCACGATCCTCCTCCAGTGACGCCGTTCCATGTGTCGTATGTCACCACGTTTCTTCTCTCCTTTCTTTCTCTCTATCTATCTCTCTATCTATCGATCTATCTATCTACCTATCTATCTATCTCTCTCTATTAGCAAAAAGGCAGAGCTGAGTACACTTTAATAGTTATTCATCGCAACTAATGTAATTTCTGGGATATTCAACAACACTGAATATCTGCACATTAACGGATGCAGCCCTAAACTGGGGCCTCAGCTTGTCATGCTGATGGTGTTTTATGTTTTTAAATTTCATGTGTATTTTCCAGTCTTCTCATTCTCTCCTTCCTCTCTTTCCATCTAGACTCTGGTCAAGTTGAATCCCAAACTTCAGCCGATGGTTGACATGATCAAAGCTAACAGGGCCAACTGGGAAGAACTGAACAAGAAGAGACAAGGCGGTCAAAGTGTTTCTCCTCCCGCGAGCCCCTGCAGTGGAGACAGCACTGAAAGAAGCGGCTGCACTGTGGCCAAAAAGGGTGTCGCACCCTGCTGCAGCGGTGATGCAGACGGCACACCATCCAAACCTGTTAGTTAGCTTCTGATGCCATCTCCGAGCTGACCTCTTAGGCTTATGTCCTCTTAAATGCAGCCTGCAACAGAGGCAGTGCAGTGCATGCAGAGGTTCTTGGGCTCTGCTCCTCTTTGCTTTTGCTGCTAGAGATGAGCTTTAGACTTGAGCGCGGCGCTATCATAGAGGTTTTTCTGCTCCCTTCAGTGTTCCTCTGCTGAAGGCTAACAGAGCTGTGTTTGGTGAGCTTGTCGGAGCAGCTACAAATCAGCTGATGACATCACGTCAGAAAGGAAACTCAAACCACTGTGTCAACATGTCAACCATGTCAACACTAACTATTCTGGGCATTGCACAGATTTTCGGCACAATAAGGCATGGAGAATATTGGAGAGGAATGTTTGTCTCTGCTGTGGTTCGTTTTGCTCTCAGTACCTCCTCGTTGCTCGCATTTTGTCTGGGGTAACAGAGATATTTTTTGTAAATCTGTACATAAGCTGTTATTTACAAGTGCTGTTTAAGAACCTGTAAGCTCTGGATTGTAATGTGGCTGTAGAGTTTCTGAAGGATAAAGGGGTGCAGGAACAGCAGGACCTGTGACAGTGCTTGCAATGCAAATTGAGTGCTCCGCTCCCTCCCTTCCTGTGCCTTGTTTTAAGATCCTAATGAAAAATGCATGGCCTCCTCACCAAGATTCTTAGATAGTATGGAAACCCATGTTGAACTAGGACATGTTTTGCCATAATTTATAAAAACCAATGACTGCAGTCACGTCTTGACCCCATGTTAGCCACAAAGCATCAACATTATATAGAAATCTATTTTGCCCAGTTTTATAAATGCAGGGTCTCACTTGTCACACACAAACACACACAATGTGCCTTGATGACATTGTTCTGATATCACATTCATTTCTGCAGAAACTTAACATTACAATACATCTAATAGAAACTCCTCACTAAACTATTAAAAAAAACCAACAAGAATTACCACTCCGCAGTTATATACCTCCACACACTGGTCAAGTTTCTCTTACAGTTTACTTCCATGTCTATGAAAACACGAATGCTTCATACACACATCCTCCCCTGACAGCACAGAAGATCTATACAATCAGCACAGTTTCAAGATTAGTGTCACCAATTCAGCATCTGACCAAATGTCTCCCCTTCTGTTCCTGAGTTATGATGTTAAGTGATGGCAAGAGAAGTGTTTTATACAGAACATTATGATGTCACAGTGAAGTTGACCTTTGACCTTTTGGATATAAAATGTCATCACTTCATCATTATATTCTATTATACATTTGTTGGAAGTTTTGTCATGATTGGCGTATGTATTCTTGAATTATGGCCAAAAACATATTTTGTGAGGTCACACTGACCTTCACCATTGACCACCAAAATTTAATAAGTTCATCCTTTAAGTGGATGTTTGTGCCAAATTTGAAGAAATTCCCTACAGGCGTTCTTGAGATGTGTTCACAAGAAAGGGACAGACGGATGTATGGATTACATATGTACGTACGGATAACCCCAAAATAAATGTTTCCGGCCATGGCTATCTCCGGTGCTGAGGCATAAAAAGAATAGTTTGAAATTTAAAGAAATACACTCACTCAAACGGGGCATACACCATATGATTTGAGGCAGGTCCCAAAAGGACCGTAAAAGTCAGTTTATGACAGACTCATGGCTCAGCATCAACTATGCAAGAGCCTGACAACAGCTAATTAAAATTTCTAGCATGTCAGAAATTCATCTGAACGCCCGACAGCCGTTAGGAAGCAGTTCATCGTGTTTTGATTGGTCTTCCATCCTCCCTGTGCACTAAATGGGAAATGTGTCCAATGAAGTCAAAATTCCGTCCAACTTTGTCAATTAGTTCTGCAGCTCAAAATTCAAATCAGAAACAGCCTCAAATCATACCGCTCAACTTTAGAAGACGGGATACTACTCTCATATCTGTCTCTTTAAAGGGGCAGTGTGTAGGATTTGGCGCCATCTTGTGGTAAGGTTGCAGATTACAAACAATTGAATGCCCCTCCGCTCACCTCTTGCTTACAGCCACCTTCAGTGGCCTTCAGGTAAGAAAATAATGTGAAAGTCCCCCTCTACAGCCAGTGTTTGGTTTGTCAGTTCTGGCCGACTGTAGAAACATGGCAGTCCCTGGAAGAGGACCCGCTCGTTATGCAGATATAAAAGGTTCAATCTAAGGATAGAAATATAGAACGGTTCTTAGTTTCAGGTGATTATGAACAAATATTACAATTCTGTTCTGCCAATAGATTTCCCTAAATCCTACACACTGCTCCTTTAAATAAAGCTACAGTTGGCCAACGGTTAGCTTAGCTTAGCTTAGCACAAAGACTATAAATAGCTTATCTGGTTGGGGTCTGCCCATTGGTCCGACAGCCCATTGTTCTGACCATATTAAACCCATTGTTCCGAAGTCCAGTTGTTCTGAAATCATCATGATGAACTGTGGTTAAGGTCTGGTTAGGTTTAGGCACAAAAAACACTTGGTTAGGGTCAGGAAAAGATCATGGTGTGGGTTAAAATGAAAATGAAAGTGGCAAACACATAAGCCGTGAGCCTGCTTCTCCTCAAGCCTTTCCCAGCTGACCCAGAGCCAGTCGAGGCGCACCATCAAGGCAGAAATACGCCCGCCGGGAGCCATTCAGCACCACGGAAAGCACCCCACACAACCCGGACCCCAGAGTTAATAACAGGAGGTTATGGTGTTTCATTCTCTCCCCTCTATGACACTTGTATCTCGACCAGTAGCCTACTTTTGTTGCGTTGCTGATCCTCTATGGTACACAAATACAATATAGCCTAGTATGATCACATATCGGAACAACGGGACGTCAGACTAATGAGAGGTCGGAACAATGAGAGGTTGGAACAATGCTATGGCACCTGTCTGGTTCTGTCCAAAGGTTATAAGATCCACCTACCACCACCTCCAAAGCTCATTAATGAAAATGTCATATTTTGTTTGTGTAATTTGGACAAAAAGCAAACTTAACTGTTTTAAAAGGGGTGATGTGTTGGACTATTTCTTGGCCAGGACATGCTACTTTATGCAGCCTTTCCTGGTTGCCTAGCATCTTGCCAGAGCCAAGAAATAGTCTGACACATAACCCCCCATAAAACAACAAACTGGTGTTTTTAGCCTTTAGCGTTTGTACGAAGTAAACAAATGGAATATAATTCATGTAATAATGATAATCTAAGAGTTTTAGAGATGCTGGTAGGCTGTTACCTTTAGACAGAGCCAAGCTAACTGTATATTCCTCTTCCCAATCTTAATGCTAAGCTAAGCTAACCAGCAGCTTTATTTAAGGGAAAAATATTAAAGCAGTATCCTGTTATCAATGTTGCTGCCAGAAAGCGAGTAAGTGTATTTCCTAAAATGCTAAAATTTTGCCATCAGTCTGATTTCTGTCCTTTTCTCAAAGCTCACAGATGCTACTTAAACAATGTTTATCATCTCCAAAAGAAGAATGAGACACCAAAACTTGTAGTAGGCCCACTGAAGTGCCCATAGTCACAAGCTATTGTTTTGATATTATTATTATTAAGTATTATTCTTTTGGGTGGGGGTATGCCTTATGAATTGTGTTGTAGCTTTGTTAATCGGAGTTTAAAATGTGACTGTGCACATTGTGTGGCATGGATCTGTGTACTCTACTGTATTTTAGTTGAAGATCTGAATTGAAATCGACCAGAACCGTTTTGAATCGCATGTTTTATGCAGTATTAAATTCAACCACTTGCTAAGGATGTAGCAAACGTGAGCCAACAAATACCTCGTACTTTGAACTTCATCAGTAAACACATGATCTCATTGGAAATGCATGGTTTAAATTCTATTATTGCATCATGTTACGTGAATTATGAATATCGCTGTTCTATTTTTCTATTAGGTCTCCAAATGTGGCCAAACTTCTACTTTGTCTTTTTTGCAATGTAACGTGCTTCTTGTATTTCTTCTTTCCTCTCCCAGTTTGGAGTCTGGATTTATTAAAGGCAGGCTAAACTGAAAGAAACGTAAGGCATGAAAAGGCAAATGTGCAATGTTTCTGTTCAGAGTTTAAATAAAAATATGCTGCTGTATGCCTTCTGGTTTATTCTGAAACAAAAGAACATTTACTCAAGTATTTGAGATGCTTGTACTTTACTTGAATATTTCCAGGTCATGCTTTATGATTTTACTCCACTACAATTCAGAGGGAAATACTGTAAATTACTTTAAAGCTTGATTTTACATACAAAATGTGATGATCTTATAAAATACTACGAACTCGAGATTAAACTACCCAACAACAATCGTGAAAATTATCCGCACTTTGACCAACTTTCAGAGATAGGAAAAGTACTAGAATACTATACTCAAATAGAAGTAGTTACTTTAAAAAAATGTACCTAAGTAAAAGCAAAAGTACATATGTTCAAATGTACTTAAATTGATGTAAAATGTAAGTCAGTTAGAATGGACTTTTTACATGTTTAATTGCATTAAATGTCAGGGTATACACAAATGGAATAACGTCACTCTACAGGGCCCTTATGTCCAAAGCAATGGTAAATTCTGTTCTATAGAAGACACTTTGCAGCCTTTGTGTACGATTGATTATCAATTATAAATATACAACCTGCTTTCTCAGCGTAGCCTCTCAAGAATTTACCAGAAAACAGCACAAACTCAGGCAATTAAATTAAAAATGGCCGACAATAAATATAAAGTCCTACGGATATTGTATCGGATGCAACAAGCATTTCTGGGCTGCATACATTAAATCAGTCGTTTCCAACTGGTCCAGCAACGGGTCCAGATTTCTCCTTATTCAGCATCATACTTGCATTTGGCCATGTCTCAAGCTAGTTCGCTGTCTCTGTCAAGTAGCTGTTCATTAGTCACTCACTTTACATCAGGACATGGCACTTCAAAATAAAAGCTCTGTGCCACAAATTTACTGTACTTACTGTAAAATAAAGTGTGTTTTTTTGCAAACTTGAGATGTTTGCGAGTCACTTGCGGTCCACTCCAAATGGACCTCCGACCCACTTCTGGACCGCAACCCACCAGTTGGGAACCACTGCATTAAATTACCTGACACGTCTTAAAACTTCACTGCCGCAGACAGAAAAGAGATGTATACACATTATAAACGCCAAAGTTGCAGCCAGACAACATATTACATCAAAAAGACAGATGCTTGCACACAGCTTGTTGTAACTGGGCAACCATAGCATCATCTGTAACCTTAAGGAAGCTACTAGTAAGTAAGTGTGTTGTTTTACTCACCCATCTGGTCTGGACGTCATTCTGTGAGTCTTGAACACCTTGGCGTCCACCATAATCTGCTCCAGGTTCAACTTCTCTGCTCATTCATTCTCAAGGAGTAATGTAACCAGTCCACTCTGCCTCTTTGTCCCAATAGCACCAATCCACTTGGCCTCTCCATCTTACTGGGCTCCTCACAGTTCTGCAACATGTTGAGCTGAATGAGGCTCTGCAGTCTCAAACAGCAGAAAGGCCTCACCACAGAAATAAAATGAAATATTGTTAGCCTAAATCTATTTCTATGAGCCTCACAGACCTCACTGAAGGTAAGCCTTCCTCAGTGAGTGCATAAACCACCTGGAGGACCCACCCATCTGTCACCATTAGCATATTAGCATTTAGCATGTTAGCCACAACTAGCATGCACTTGTTAGTGAGAACACCCTGGGTGTGTTTGACTTGGGTCTGCGGGTGGTGCCTTAAATCAGTGACAAATCTTTTGTAACCTAACCTACCTGAAGCTAACCTCACCCTTTCTTCATAAAAATGCATAATTTGACAGCACTGTTGTACATTTGTGAAGCTAACGGCTCTGTAACTGTTGGTGTTTAGAGAAATGGAGTAACCGTTTGAAATTACCTGCCAACACGATGTGCGCATGTGCAGTGCGGGGAGGCGGGGAAATTATTCTAGAGGACACGCCCATATGCTAATAATTGCTACCCCTTGACACTCGCCAGTTAAGGTTTAAACAGGTAGGTTATGACTTCCGGTCAGCTCTGTGCTGAGCACAGTTTATTTATCAGGACCTTTTGTGTTTACTCTGTAACAGATGCGACTGGAAATGTGGCACAGTACAATACCTGTGATTTAAAGGAAAACGTCTGAACTATCCAAGTACAGGTAAAACTACTTTTTTTTTTTTTTTACATTAACGAGATTAAATCTAAGCCTAATTGGTCATTTTTACCCCTGCAAACTACAACAGTAAAATGCTTCATACACTGAAATGCATCAACAAAAACAACCTGATATATAGTATGATAATGCCAAGCCTACATATTTCTACATTTTCAATGCAGGATGTCCACTTGTAATTAAGTATTTCGATATACAAGCATCATGTAGTGTTTTTAGGGTGAAGTCAGGTTATGTGGGACATATAAGGTTTTACACTTTGGGCTCTTTAAATATTAGCAGCCAATCACTAAACATGTTATTATATTGTTTCCTTGAAATGAATAATTTTTATTGGTCTGAGACAAATATTGATATGAAATAAAAGTGACTGACAATAAATAGAAGGTCCCACAGACATTGTGACTGGTGCAACAAGCATTATTAGGCTGCATACATTAAATTATCTGACACTTCTTATGGAATCAACAACAGAGTAAAACTAAACTGAAGCAGACAGCAAAGAGACATATAAACGATATAAACTCCAAAGCTGCAGCCAGACAATGTATTACAGCAAAAAGACAGATGCTTGCGCACAACTTGATGTAACTGGGCAACAGCAGCATCATCTGTCACCTACAGGAAGTCACTACAGAAAGTAAGTGTGTTACGAAACAATCATTTTATTGTTCTGAGACAAACAGTATGTGCATTGCAAGGAGTCAAAATCACTGGTCCCAGAACATACAAGGTGACCCTTCTCTCTGGTAATAAGCAGCTACAATAATAATGGTATAACAACAACAGTGGTTACAGGATGTTTCATTTTATTAAATGTTTGACTTGTGGTGAAAATATTTTCATAATACTCGTATCTTTTTATGGGAAATGGTTTTGAAAGAGTGCTTAATGCATTCAGGTAAAATAGGACATTTTTCTGAATTGAAACCAGCATGTTTTTAGGCCCTTTTTTGTCACAAATAAAAATATTAAAAATGATGCACTGAGTCTATGTCAGCAACAATAGTCCAGAATTAGCCATAATTGTTACATGTAAGCATGTCCATTGTTGACAACACAGCACAAAGGAAACAGCGACAAAAGAACAAGGGAAGCATGGCAAAAAAACTGGACAATATAATATATATAGCTACAGGTTATATTAATGATTTAATGACTGAACTGATAAATGGATTTAACCATTTAAAAACAAACACAAGTGACTGTCACATTGTACCTGAACATGTCATTAAAATG